TGCAACAGGTAGAAGGAGCAAAGGGGAAGGGCCGGGGAGGAAGGGGGTGCACCCCCTCAACATCAAAAACTGCTGTGTGGGAAAGAACAACTACGACTGCAACTGCAACGGCGACTGGGACACCAACTGGGACACCAACTGGGAATCTGGGACCAAGGGGGGCCAGGGACGAGAGACGACATTGGATGCTGGAGTCCTGGACATTGAGCAACGGGACGCTAGCGCAACTTGACGGGAACTCCATCGCTGGGAAGGAGGAGGACGGGGTGGGGGTGGCCGAACCGGAGGAAGGTACCGATACACACTGCTTTCTCGGACGTACCTACCTTCAACTTTTCATGGAAAGAGGTACGTTTCGCACTTACCTTTCTTCACCTGGGATTGTACTCAATGAATTTCTCGATATCGTCACTCTTCCGAATGGGTATTCTTCTTTTCCCTCAATCCCACGAGTACGAGGTTTGATGTCCGGCGCATCGCATCGAGGCACAACAGATTGTTCGCGGCCAACCACCCTTCCACTTGCTGGACCAAGTCTACGCGCTTACCTCGAATTCCTCCGAAGCTTCTCCCTTCCACTCCGTTCCTTAACTTGGAATTCCCTAATACTGAGCGAGGGAGCCTGCCGCGACACGGTCGAGGCGAGACGACAACTTGAGACGAGACACCACAAGAGGCACGTACCAGTAATCAGAGACTGAAGTTGGATGGTACGCCTCCGTTGGGCAGTCCAGTCTCCAGCTATCCTCACTTGATACTTGCCGTCCCACTGTCCATGTAAGCATTTGGCAGCGCTTACTCAACAGCCAACAGCCTTCATCTATACCCTCAAGTCTTGCTCTCGCTATGGTAAGCAGCTGGTCCGCGGCAACTTTCGATGAGGTATTCGAATTGCAGGGTATGCAGCGTGACTGCGTGGAAGCTGCGTGGCCGTAGGGATATGCAAGTAAGGTGAGGTACGGATATTGACCTCCTTCTGTGAAGATGTATCTCGGTGGACCTGAGTGAATGGAAGAGAGGGGATGCAGGACACGGGGGCGTGTGGACGTGGAAACAAGCCGAGGGAGCTTGTGGATGGGATCCGTCCAGTATCTTTTCGAAAAGTGGCCTGCCCCCTGCCACTCAGCATCCGGAACCCATTAAGGTAGGAATTGGAACGGATAGCTAATGTGACGAAAGGCCATGTCATCGTCGGCGGTCGCCCGCCTGCACCTGCACCTTCACCTGCACCTGTAGGCTGTCGCATGCGGTCTCGGGGATAATTAACATTTGGGAAATCGCGTGGGTAAGCACAGCAAGACGCCATCAGTTGGACATAATCTCTGCCACTGGGTGCTCCAGCCTCCAGCCTCCAGCTTCTCAGTGCTCCCGCTCCATCCCATCAGGCTTGCTGCTTCAGCAAGCTTCCAAGCCAGGCTGGCCGGGGTCGGCAGGCGATCCACTCGATATTGGAGAAGCACGAGAAGGAGATTGGCATTTCGAGATGAAAAGAGGAACATGCATACTCATTTGTATCCAAGCCTTCCGCGTAAGGTACCATCTCGCCAGCCCTATCTATCAATTTCTTGCCGTTGGATCCGCTGGGGCCGGTCTCGAGGTCTCTGAAAGACTGAAAGAGTGATGAGACAGCTGGTAATACGACTGCCAGTTTCCGGTTCTTCGTGATGAGGTAAGAAGAAAAAAGGAAAGAGGACGACCAAAAAAAAAACAACAGAGAGGAAGGTGACCCGGTACGTAGTTCCCCGTCGAAATCTCCATTGTTGCGTTAGCGCCGTTTCGACTGGACGGTATCAATACTTCTTTGTGTCTTGGGTTCCCGCCCGCGCCGTTCGTTCTTCTTTCCGAGCATTTCCATGTTCCGTCTCTCATTCCACGTCGCGTCTTTTCTCATCCTCGTCCTTCTCCCGCCCCTTGAATTCTCGATGTTGAGATTCCAAGGGACTGCCGCGGCGTCGCCAGAGCTACGGTAGAACTGGCAAGGTGTCTTTGACCGAGATGTCTACAAGATGACAACCGCAGCAAGCGAGCCACAGACAGGAGAAATCACACATGATTGCTGTGCCTCTCTTCGACTTTGGTCAGAATCACTCACGCTACGTGCCTGCGCACCAGGACGGACTCGTCAGCGTCACTATCGAAGCAAGCAGACAATCTCCAAGGAACCCGAAATAACGACTGGGCCAGACACAGACCAATGCGTGGGGAGCACCCCTGCCAACCACTTAAACCTCTGGTGATCCACCCACGCTAAAGAGCAACAAGTACCCATGTACCTTGCCCTTTCCGCGATTGCCATTACCAAACAGTACGGGGGACGTGCCTTATCCGTATCGCCGCAGCTCACTAGGTACCTTACCTTGTTCCGTACTCCGTACACAATTAACCTGCAGGTGGAAAGAGTGGCAGTGGAAGCTGGAAGATTTGTATCTCTCTTTAAGGTATTCTGTACGGATACATAGTACTGCCAATTGGACATGAGCCCCGAGAAGCCGTGCTCGTGATACTCACTTCAAGGTCCAGGGAAAGGGCGTTTGGCTAACTGGATTTCTCGTCATGAACGTCCCAGTGGTACCTACCTTACACATCTGCTGCCCAACGCTCCTTTCTAACTCTTCTCTGCTTACTGCACTCACCTCGCAATCTGCATGAACACCTCTACGGCCCGTCGTTGCGGACGTCAGTCTCGGTCATGTGAAGTTCCAAACAAGTTGGCCATTTTGCAGGACAAGCAACAACCAGGCGCAAGCGGATTCGGGACATACACAAGCCTGCCTCTCTCCTCTCGCTTGCAGCACACCAGAGGACTGGACGCTCTCACATCACGCACCTCGTGCTTAGCGACGATACTTCCACGACCTTCACCGCTGGCGGGTTACTTTGAGCGCAGCTCCATATCACCATTATCCAACACGGTTCCCTTCGTGTAGAAGTTGATTCTCACGAAACCAAGTATTGCAGTTCAGGTTCTTGCCGTCACGTACCAGCCCTCTCTCTCCAGTCTCTATCAGCTACGGATACCTCAAGTGCAAGTCTAGACGCTCAAAACTTATTGCAGCGCCTCGCTGCCGCCCATCTAAAGGTTGATATTTCTGCAGACCGAACAAACAATTTCAGCCACCGGCGCAAAAAGCAAGCTATTGCCACCAGTCCCGTACTTCTACTTCTGCATGCCTCCATGCCTATCCCAAAGAGCAAACCCCATGGTCAAGGCCGAGACCTTTTTATCAGTTTACACCCTAGGTGCCAAGTGGACCGCAGATCTGCTCTTTCGCGCGCTCTAGCAGCAATAATTCTCTCGCCCTGGCATACGGGTCCCTACAATAACTCACACTCGCTCCCGCCAGCCTGCAGATAAGCCCCTATTTCACCACGTTAGAATGACATTCTCGAGGCTCGTATGAACGTGCCATGCTTGCAAAACCTCAACAAAGAAGCATCGCGTCGGTAATTGCCCTCTGTGCTACGGACACTTTTCCCCCTCGGACGCGTATCTAACCCCAGCGGCTACTCGCAGCTTCGGGTCCAGTAGTTACGTCAGCTGAGGCCGCAACCCGCCTCTCTCGAGATGCGATTTGATCGGTTAACGTCTCAGATGGTCGCTCTTCGTCTTTCTTAGCTGCCCTTCTTCGCCTCTGGGGGCCGCCCTAGTCCGACTTGCCCTACCCGCTAACCAGGTACCGACTCCGGAGGTGGGTGTCCTTGAACCTCTTTGCCTCTCCGAAACCTGGCAATAACTACTTACGAGAGGCTGTAACCACGTTACCAACAGACTATCCATACAGTTAAACAGCTAGGCTTGTCGACAAGGATGCACCGCCTAATTATGGCTTGCAACCCTTTTGGCCGACCAAAACTGACACGTCGACATGTTGCCGTGCTGTAGTTTGTAGGTGTCGTCAGCATACCTACCTGCCCTACTCTGAAGGTTTCCTAGCCGGCCGCTGTCAACGTGATCGGCCTTGTTCTACGGAGTAGTTATTAACGATTTGAGTTGCGGAGGGCTTCTTGAACAAGAAATCGAGCTTTTTACCCCGCACAGTGCTTGTTATGCACACTTATGCACCATCACCGAGGAACCATTGGATCCAACCAAGCCGCCTTCCTCACAATGGACCGAACTCCCACCGCGTTCCCACCTCCCTCCATCTTCCCCCACAGGTCATGCACAGGACTTTGCGGACGGCGGGATTCCGTCGGCAACGGTGCGCGGAAACACCATAACCGGCACATTATATCACTTGCTGGGAGAACATCAGTTCGATCACTGGTGTTGGGGTCTCAGAGAGCATCGGCATTTTCGGACCAAAGACGGCCCTAACTTTACGGGCAAATCACTGATATCAACAGTTCGGCAACTTACTGATCTTCGGGTCGCCAGTGTTCTAGAAGGATACGGACTGACAATTCTCGCCCCCAAGATGAAGAGCCCTGTGTGCCCTAGAAGCGGCAATCAAACACAATTCTCCCGGACTGCTCCAGTGCTCCTCCCTTCAGGTCTTGAGGTTCACGCTGCGGCCCCATTCGCCTCAGGCAGTCAGCGTCCCGAGCTTCAGACCGCGAGGCCAGATCCCTCAATCTCTGGTGATCCACACCTCGTCCTCCCCTGATCCCAGATCCCTCAAGCTTTACGATTCAAGGCGCTGGCAGACTGGCAGCTGCGCCGTTGCAATGTCAACGAATCATCACGAGATAGTAATGTCCGCGGAGTCTGTCCTTCTTTGGCTTTCGCTCGGTTGCTCTGAGGCCCAATGTCGAAACGGTCTTGACCATGATGCAACTTGATTCGGTCCAACGTTCCGAGCAAGTGAACGACCTTGTGATGGAAATAACGAGAATTACGAGAGACGTGGACACGCGATGAAGTGAGGGTGATTGGATACCAATGACGATTCTACTACCACCACCGCCGCAGCTCTTGCCAAAGATGCAGCAAATGGCTGCTGTGCTGTCATATCTGCAACCAGCGCGGCCTGCAGCAGGTCATCATCACACGCCTATGCATCAGGTCGCACGCTGCAAGCCTGCAAGGCTGTCCCAGTCCTGGTGGCTCAGCTCTCTGAATGGGGGACGACTAACCCGTAAGTGGCTGCAGAATGGGCCACCAGTGCGCGGCAAAAAAAGTCGGCATCGATATCGATGGCATCTTGCCGATGTCTCTCAGCGATCCGTCGGCTACTGGCGCCCTCCCTGATGGAATGGAAGACGCGCCGCTGATTCTTGAAACTTCAATGGAACAGTTTCCAACTCTGTTCTCTTGTCGACTCGGGAAGTGGATCCATCATAGGATCCCTGAACCTGCTCCCTTCCATTGGAATCAACTTGCGTCTTGGCTCTTCACCTGTTTGGGCCCTTTTGGTTCTGGCTGGTACGATTTTTCTCCCAGCCGGAAACTCCTCATTACCGGCCTAAGGGATCTTTGGGCAGACTGGGAGATACGACAGAACGATCCGTCACGTCCATTGGACGTTCGGAATCGCCACGAGGAACCTGCGGTGATACTCTGTAGAGTTTTGATTCTGTCTCGACTGCGACAGCCCAACCCGACGATCTGGACTGTGATGGTCTGATGACAGCCCGCCGCCCAAGGGACCTCGCACTCATCCCGTCTCGCCGAACCTTGGATTCTTCCATGCGAAATCGATGACAGGTTCTCCAGGCTGAATCTTAATGCGCCGTAGGGCCGGCTGATACCGTTTAGACACCGTGCTGCTGAGAACCATCTTGACGTGTCAGGTGTAATGAACTGAACTGAGGACCTCACTTGCAAGTGACCGACGCCGCAAGCGCACGTTTGGCCCAGCGCGGCCAGTCAGTCCATACAACGAACAGGCTGCCAGTTGTCTGTTTTTTGCCTGCCACACTACAGTTGGCATAGCTGCTACGCGATGGCCATATGGTCCTGTTTCTTCTCGAAGTATTATTGTCCCGACAATGCCGAGAGAAGCCACGACGTTGGCAGATGGCGTCCAGTCAAGGTCGACAACGTCTTGCAACACAGTCCCGGCTTCCTCACGGCTGACCAGCTATCCGTACCTAGGTAGTACGCTGCGGCCAATTCGGTCTACTATTCAATTGTCACACTCACCTTTCACGTGGGGTATTAGCGTCAGACATCCTTTTAAAATAAAATAAAAGAGTTCGAGTCCAATCAGGTGATTCGCGGGGTTACGGGGAACCAGGTTACGGGCATGTCCACGATAGCAACGCTACACATCCATCCCACAGCTGATGATGGGGGACAAGTCGGTTTCCAGCAGTCATGAAGTCCTCGCCTCGTCGCGCAAAAATCAACAAAATCTTTGAGCAGCAACTTGGGCGGCGCCTGTCTCTCCCTCAGCCTCGATCCCGAACAGCAAAGAGCAGCGGCCTGACTGGACTGGGAGACGGTGACCAACACCAGGCCGAATCTAGGACGAATGCCGGCGCAACACTCAAACGGCTTACCTTTGTGTAGCCTCCCACAGTTTGCTGACGAAATTAATACTGCTGGGCAGCGGAAAACATGGGGGTAATCCCGCTTGGCTGCTCTTGGACTCGCCGCTTGGGGACCACTCCAACAAAGCACTAACGCTGCATGTCACCAATTGCACCGGGGCTAATTTTCTGAAAGCGCCGCGGTCCGTCATTGTAGGACGTGCGACTCGTACGACATGCTGATCGAAATGGCAGTACGCAATCATTGACAGTGGGTTTGGCCCCTCTGGATTCCGCTCTGCGGTGATGCCGCGCTGGCAGTCCTCAGAACGGCGGATCCGATATCTTTCGCAAGACGGAAGGCAGCTCGAGGCCCCCCCCCGGGAAGATATCACACCCACCGGCTCGGATCTCGGGGGCCACTCGATCCGGCAGGCCATTGAAATGAGGCGTTGCCGAAAGCCCGGAATGCGTTGCCCGGAGGAAAACCGGAACGTCGCATTGAGTAATAGCAGATATCAAACTCGATGACCTCCTGCTCACCCAGGGGCAACCGAGAAGGAGACGTTCCTCGTTTCCATATCATGGGGCCTCTGGCCATAAATACTGCCGTCTCAGCACTGCCGTCGCCATCGGGCCAGCCTCGTTCGTGATGGCAGCAGCAGGTGATGCAGGCGGGAAGAGGGTCACGTAAGAGAGGTTGCAAACCACGCATGCACCAACATGCAGGTTCTTGCATATGGTCCTTCGACATCACACCCGGGAAGCCAGTCAAAGCTGACCAGACATGGCATATGGCGTCCAATCCAGCGCTTGCAGGTTGGGCACACGGTTCACGGGCAGACGGGGAAGAGCGTTTCCCCACGTATACTGCCCTTTGGCATCAGGCCCCGATCAGGGACCGAAAGGGGGCAGATATGCCCATCTCGGCCCAACCTTCTTGAGCCTTTTCAGGTCGTTCTTCCTTTCAAGTGTGGAAACTTAAAAGGTGGGGTGTGCGTCAACCAATTCAGTGTGCCCCCCCCCCAGTAGATGTACGCACTCTCTTGCGTCGAAACTTCGGATGAACCCGGCTGATGGCATGCTTTTCTTTCTATCTGATTGAGAAGATTTTTTTTTTTCTTGGTTTGTCGTTGTTTCACCGCGTCCAACTCTCAAGAGCACTAGCCACATGTCAACTTATCTCTAATGGCTTTACTGCGTGCTCCGTGCATGGCGTGTCTGCAGGCTGGGGTAGGTGTCGAAGCTGACATGCCACTCGGCAGCTTGAAAGAGAATCACATATTAGGTTAGGCGAGTAGAGCGGTTCGGACTCCGAGAGCTTACGAATGAATAAGTAGTCGACGGGTCTGGACTGGGCACACACACGTCGTTGTGTCTGTGGGACTACTATTCTCCTACGGCTTTCCGTCTTCTGACGACATCCCTTCGACTTGGTTCATACGTAGAAGCTTGGAACTACTATCATATCGCTCAATAGTGGCGGACAAGTTTGAAAGACCTTCATGGCGCTCCAGGCACCAAGGTCCCCTCTAAGACAGTACTATGACAGCCAGTCAGCCTACTCAAGGTAGAGCTTTTTCGAAGCAGGACGTGAAGCTATTGCAGTTTATACAGGTTTACATAAACATTGGTGCGTAGGTCATCAGACATTGTCTATATCAGGCCGGAATTCGGAGCTTGAGATAGAGATCTTTTCTATCTACATCGAGAGCCGGGATGCTAGCTACCACGTGGGCTACAGTTCTGTAGCAAGTCTACTATGTAGAGTCACCATCCCACAGATCTATCTGTGGACTTTCAATCTAGTCTCCGGTTATTTTGCCTTGCTCTGTCTACACTTAGAATATTTACATGAGTCTCTAGGGAGATTGTTATTTGGAGGGCTATAGTTTGGACGACTGATGGACTAGGATCCAGAAGCTATGAAATTAGGAAAGTACGGACAAAATTTGGATGTAGTGGAGGTCCATTAAGAATAATAGCTATTCTATATAGAAGTTATTCATATGTTCCTCAGAGATGGAACTACGTCACGTTTGACTCCTTTCGGAGCTGGTGATGAAACTTTCACCTGGCTGTGTGGCTACTTTGGTTGTTACATGACACAACCACATGAACAGAGCACTCACAATGCGGAAGGAGAGAAAGCCTCCCATACATCTATCTACCTGTAAGAGGAGTAAGTGGTCGACTGCAGTGTTGAAAGCTAGGCTCATGCTAGGGGAGGGTTGATGAGTTTGGAAATTTGCTTGACGAGGCAAAAACAATGCCCCGTGGAGGACCCGTTGATTGTAAGTTGCAATGAGCACTTGGGCTCATTATTCATTATAAATGGTCCTCGAACAGGTCTGACCTTGGAATGAAGGTGTAGGTATCGTCAAGGCATGCTGAACGGAAAGGGACAGGGCAGATCTTCCAAGTGAATCTGTTCCATGGAAGTCTTTTTCCTTCCTCGGTTTTCTTTTCAAGTAATTCTTTCTATGGAATGAAGCTTTTGTGTGGTTCTTCCTTTCTCGACTCCATTGTGTGATTAGGCAGGCGCAGGCAGGCAAGGTAAGTAGTTACTGGCATGGATGGGTGTGTTTGCACTCCGTTTCCTCGCCCGTCCCCAGAATCTCAATGGGCAGTAGATAAGTACCGGTCGAAAGAAAGACCACCAATTGTGAATAGATGAAGCGAATAATATGACTAAGAAAGATAAAGGGTGATTGGACAGAGTAAAGAAAGGAAGAAGAAGACCAAAAAAGTTGTACCGACGGCGGGACTTGCACCCGCAACCTTTGGCTGAGACTCCACGGACAAGGTAGGAGGCCAATAAGCTACTATTGCTCCACGACGGCGTGCGTGTAACCATTCGACCAAACTGATCTTTTTTTGTTTTGTTTTGGTGACTGTGTCTTTGTTGGAGTTCAGATGGCGGGAAGGCGCGTTATGAAGGGGGAAGGTGAAAGGGTGGGCGGTGAAGTGTGTGTATTCCGTTTGTTGATGTCCTTAGGCTTCCAGAATTTCCTGGAAGGTCCTAGAATGGAGCGGCAGAGGGTGGTTACGAATGCAGATTGTCTGTTGATCTGATATCTGATGAATCATTGAAAATTGGGAAGGTATGAAATCTCATCGTGATGTATTAATGATGGTATGTATGGTCGAGAGCTGGGCATTTAGTATAATAAGTAATCGGCGCGGCCCTAAGTCAATAACCCCCCTCTACAACTGGTATGAGTGACCACTCACCTCTATCTGATAGTCTCTTGGACTATGATAGGTAAGTAGCAAAAGTGAAGGCTATGGGTAGACAGGAGCAAGTCACTCTCACATCGCCTAGATCATCCTAAAATACCTCTACCGCTTAGACGATATGGGACTGTAGATTTGGTAGTTGAAAACAATACGCATTAATCTACTGACTTAGAGCATGAATTCATTGCATTGAATCCCGTGGTTCTCCATGCGAAGCTTGAACGTCAGGAACTACCCCGGATTATAAGCCTCACGCAGCTCAGGGGGTAAGCAAACCTCATCCGGTATAAGAATCACAGTACTTGTTTCATATTCAAAGGGAAATTATCAAGTAGACTTTATTCTTTCCTTGATTCTCCTTCAACGTCTTGCGCGCTTTTTAGCGCATAACGACAACAGTCGTCTCACAACCCAACCCAAGCAAGCGACTTCTCCCAAAGCAAAGTAGCCTTTTCAACATCATACGCATGCTCCCCGTACCCAGGACCCCACTGCTCCCCAGCAGGATCCCACGGCCCAATAATCTGACAATCCTCAAGATACAACCCTCCTTTACCTTCCAACGCCGCTGCCGTCGCAGCCCACACAGACGTCGACGCCCCCTGCGGCGCCGTCTTGAAGATCTTGGAGAGATAGGGATGCTTCGCGAACCCGTCCTGCTGCTCCTCGGGCATATGCCGCATCAACTCCGTAATCACGCCTCCGGGCTGCAGACTCAGCGCGTGGATGCCCCCCCGAGCAGCCCCGTACCGCCGCTCAATCTCGTTTGCGGTCCAGAGGTTGGCGGTTTTGCTCTGGGCGTAGGTCGCCATGGGATCGTAGCACCCGTCGTAGTTTACATTGTCAAAGTTGACCTGGCCGAAGCGGTGCGCGACGGAGGAGACGATGACGACGCGGGAGGCGTGGGCTGGGGTTGCTGCTTTCAGGAGCGCGGGCTGGGGGAGGTTGAAGAGGAGGAAATGCGCGAGGTGGTTCGTTCCAAACTGCGTCTCGAAGCCGTCCTTTGTGCGGCCCTCGGGGGCGTCATGACGCCCGCGTTGCAGACGAGGATGTCGAGCTTGTCTGTGCTGGCGAGGAAGGCGGCGGCGCAGGCGCGGACGCTGGCGAAGGACTCGAGGTCGAGTTCCAGCAGGTGGACGCGCGCGGTGTCCTTGACCATCTCGTCGCCGAGGGCTTTGCGTGCTTTGGTGAGGTTGCGGGCTGTCAGGTAGAGGGTTGCGCCGGCGAGCTAGAGGGCTTTGGCGGTTTCCGTGCCGATGCCGGCGGAGCAGCCTGTGATGAGGGCGGTTTTGGAGACGAGGCCTGAAGGGACGAGGTTTTCGTCGCGGACGATTTGTTCTGCTGTTGGGCGGGCGTCGCCTGGGCCCTTGGGGTCGGCGTGGATTGCGATGTAGCGGTCCGCCATGATGGTGATTGTTATTCAGGAGAGAGAAAGGAGGAGTGAGGGTTTGGCTGAACGAGTGATTGCTTTGTTCCGGGGAACGAGTTGTGAGATTGAGTTCTGATCATCCATCTTATCGTAGTTACAGGAAGCTTTATAAGATATTCGAGTTGCCATTGTCAACATGTTGAAAGTTTGCTGCTATGACGTTACCGAAGCTCAAGTATGTACGGAATTAACGTGGCTAAGGGTTGTCATCGAATCCACATGTGTTGTTTTGTTTTAGTCTTGCTTTACCCCAGTCAGCAACTAGCTGACTCGCAGCCATATGTCCGTTCTCGTCCGACCTACTAAGACCTCACACATTGCCAGAACTGGCAATTATTCGCCGTAAATCTGGCACGTTCGTCGACGAGATGGCAGTGATACTGTCAAATGCAACTGCTTGACATTCAGCGTTGGCGGGCTCCGAGGAGCCCGCATGTAGTTGTTCTTCCTGAGACCTTACCTCCTTTCTTAAGTCCGGAGGAGAGCTACATCATTGCCATCTTTTCCGGAGAAAAGCTGTGATGTAATGTAATGCAATGTTTTCTTCAAAGTAGAAGAGCCTGAAAGTGGAATATCATTGTAACTATTTCACAGTCTGCCCAGAAATAAAAGAAAGATCTACAAATCCTATCCCCTTTCACCTGCTCCCTACTATTTGCCCGCAAAACCAAAAGAACCATCTCCTTCCCCCAGCTTCATCCGAATAGACCCCTCAACCACTATAATGACCCAATTAGTCTGGCTCATCACAGGCTGCTCCTCAGGCCTCGGCCTAGAACTCTCCCGCGAAGTCCTGAAAAGAGGCCACCTCGTAATCGCCTCCTCGCGGTCCCCAGAAAAGACACCCCATCTCGTCGACGAGATCCAGCAAGCAGGTGGCCACTGGATCGCCCTCGACGTCACAAAGGACAATGTCCAACAACAGGTAGACAGCGCAGCACAAATCCATGGACGTATCGACGTCCTCGTGAACAATGCCGGCTACGGCATCGCCGGCGGCTTCGAGGACCTCAGGTTAGAATGGACCTACCCCCCACCCCCCAAAAGGCCACAAGCCCAGACTCATCTCCTGAATCACAATTAAACAAAAAAAAACAACAGACTTAGCGACTTCCAAACCCTCTTCAACACAAACCTCTACGGCACAATCCGCACAACCCAAGCCGCCCTCCCACACATGCGCGCCGCCCACACCGGCACAATCATAAACATCTCCTCCACAGGCGGCCTCCGCGGCCTCCGCGGCCTCGCCGCCGTCTCCGCCTACGCGTCCTCCAAATTCGCCCTCGAAGGCCTCTCCGAATCCCTGGCAGCCGAGTACGCCGCCGACTTCGATATCCGCGTCGTGCTCGTCGAACCGGGGCCCTTCCGCACCTTATTCCGCGACCAGCCCACCTTCTCACCAGCCGCGGGGCGTATGAGCGAGTTCTACAAGGGCACGGCGGCCGAGGGGGTGCTGAAGCACCTCGAGTCCGGGGGCGGGACGCAGGCTGAGGATCCCGAGAGGGCTGCGCGGCAAATGTTTGATTTTGTGACGGGACAGGGGCTGGCGGAGGGGTTATTGGGGGGGGCAGGAAGAGGAGAAGGAGAAGAAGGGAGGCAGGTTTCTGAGGCTCCCGCTGGGTAAGGCTGCTGTTAAGACGGCGAGGGACAAGGTGGCGGATCTGGAGCGGAATATTGATGCCGTGGCTCATATTGCCAATGCTTGCGACTTTGATGAGTTGAGAGAAAGCCAGGTAAACGTTTGGAACGAGGTTCGAATCTCACTACAGAGGATCCGCAAGATCGTTACAAAGTGACAATGGGCTGAGAGGAGCTGTTTCTTTGGAGTGGGACTTCATAGTCGTAAGACGAAGACTCTCGTCAACTTTGACTCGCCGCTAAGACTATGCGAGGCAGCAGAACTAAGATACAGAGTCAGAAAGACGGCATAGAACTATATTGGTATCAACTTACTAGTCTCCAGCTTCTCGAGATATCTGAAGCCAAACCCATAATGCGCATCCCATCTTACCTGTAATCCATCTCTCATCACGCCTCCAACATTAAACATCACTTCAAGGTCATGCAGCATGATTGACAAAAAAGAACATCATGTACGTTTGGCCCCCAGAGTATACTACACTGAACCTTGTATCAGACTCCTTTAAAATGCTCCCCTGTGCCGAGAGTACATGTCCAGTAGATTGAATATCAAAAAAAAAAAAAAAAAAAAAAAAAAACCTTCTCACACAATGCCTGACAACAGACTCTATCTCACTGTTTTACACTCAAAAGCAGTCTTACGCCGCCTTCTTCTCGGCAGGTACCTTCTTCTTCAATGACCCAGGCGGCGTCTTAAGACCGGCAAACACCGCAGCTGCCACAACGGCCATACCCGTGGCACCCATGGTGTACGCTACTTCACGGCCGGCCCACCAGTAGACGCTGGTGAAAAGAATTGGCCCCAGTCCACGACCGAGCTGGCCCCAGCTGCGGAGGATGCCGAGCTTGCCACCGCGCTCGTCCTCGGCTGCCTCGAAGCTGCTCAGTGTGTTCAGACCCGAGACGACGGTCGCGGATGTGACGGCGAGACACGTCGCCGCAGCGTAGAGGCCGCCGGTGGTGGTGATGCGGCCCAGGAGGACAAAGGACGCCAGACAGGCCACGACGCCAATGCGCATGGAGAGTAGAGGTGGGAGGCGGCGAGTGACGCCGCCCTGCAGGATGGAAGCGACGAGGCCAACGAAACCGAGAAGGCGGCCGTTCTTGGCGGAACCGAAGGCGAAGAGCTCGTAGGTCATGAAGGAGAGGGAGGATTCCATGCCGGAGAAGAAGAGCAGGAAGACGAAGTGGACAGCGTTGAGGAGGAAGTGCGAGTTTGTTCGGACGAGGGGGGTCGATTTTGGTTTGGTCGTGCTCTTGTCATCCTTCTTCGCGCCGCGGCCCTTGCCCGTCAACGAAGGGAGGGTTTCGGGGAGGCAGAAGTAGAGGTAGACGGTCTCGGTCAGGATGAGGAATAAGCTGAAGCCGGCGGCAGTGGCGAAGGGGTTCTCCTTGACGGTGCTGATGCTGCTCAGCCATGCGCCAAGACCCGGACCAAAAGTGAATGCAATGGAGAAGCAAGCACCGATGAGGGCCATAGTGGAGCCTCTACTCTGCTCGTCCGAGATGTCCGTCGCCATGGCGGTGGCGAGCTGGACGTTGCCCTCAGACAGACCACCGACGACGCGGGAGGCGACAAAGGTGCGGAAGTCGACGGCGACGACCCAGAGGAGCACGGAGAGTATGTTGCCGCACATGGAGGCCAGCAGGGCGGTGCGGCGGCCGTGACGGTCCGAGAGGTGACCGATGAGTGGGGAGGCGATGGCCTGGAGCAGACTGAAGAGGGAACCGAGGGCACCGCCGAGAAGAACGATATCGTAGCGGGAGTCGATGGGGCGGGCAAAGGCGGCCTTGTAGCGGTTCAGGCCGGAGAGAACGGACTGGAGGAGGGTGGCGGGGCCGGTTGCGTTTGCGATCTCGGGGCCGACTTCGCGGTCGCGGTAGAACTCGAGTAGCTTCGGGAAGAGCGGGAGGATGAAAGTGAAGGAAATCTGGAGGGGGGTTGTTTGTTAGTTTTGAGAGGTCCAGATGACGAGAGACAGATGGCCAGAGCGGCTTGAGGGGGTGGAAGAATACCAGGTCGAGAAGCAGAGAGATGGCGATGACCCTGAGCACACGTCTGCGCGTGGAGGGGTCGACCGCGGTCGAGGGCGACGGTGATGTCGCTGCCACTGCCATTGTCGCGAACCTGCGCTAGTTGTCCTATGCGTAAGAGTGAGGTAGATGGACTTGTGGAGGACGTTATATTCGGTGTTCGTGAACGGGATGACGGATTGCCGCTGTATAGAAATCAAGTAGATCGGGAGAATGAGCGTGGGGTAGGTAGGTAGTTGGAGAGAGAGTCGAGTCGGACAGGGGAGAAGAAGTGAATCAGCCAAGGCAAGAAAAGAAAGGCCAAGTCTGCATTAGGCAGGGTACTCGGGAGTTGAAGAGGAGAAAGCGAAAACGAAGACAAGAATAACAATAGTATGCATAAGTAAGAAAAAGAATTCGAGGTGGGACGACAGGTGACAACCAAAGACACTGGAGGCTGGAGGGGAACGGGGCAACTCAGTAAAAGGAACAACGTGGAAGTCGCGGCGCGCGGTGTCCAAGCTCCCCCGTCATTGCCGTCGGCCGATGCAGTGCAGCACTTGCCTAGGTCGATATCCGTAGTGGTGGAGAGTGCAGAAGGTGCAGAAACATGCTCTTTCTGCCCTTGTCCCCTGAATTGGTGCAATGGTGATCCAGTCGGCCCAGTCCGATGTTTCAGGGTCAGGGGCTGACGCTGGCTGCCCCAGTGGCTGCTTCCACTTTGGCACTTGCTGCTGTGCTGGGATTGGGTGGGGCCCACCCGACCTCCAGTGCTCCTGCACCTTATGGCCCACGGGCTTCCTTTCCTTCCACTTCTTGCGCTAAACATCGGACGGCATCCACGCCGGACCGGGGATTTGCTGACTTGGCCGAGTCCGGGGTGGGCCACAGGTACGTATCCGTAGTCAGCTGTTATTTGGGGCAATCTCATTGGACGCTGCTTCAACAGACACTTTGGCCTCTTCGAGTACCTTACCTACGCAGTACACCTTACCTAGGTAGCTAAGGTACATCAACAGGCGCGAACTTGGACCTCATCTTCTGTCTATTTCTTCTTCTTTGCATTTACGAGAAACAATCCGATTTCTGGGTACTATCTATGCTCTTACATCTGATGAGGTGCTGCGGCATGGCTCGTTCGATCCCATCTCACCTAATCAGATGACAAAGTCTCCCGTCAGCATTTCTGCCCATGCTACGCATATTGCTGGGAGATGACGGGCAGCCGAGGGCCAAGACCTTTGTGCTTGTCCTTGCCGAATTGACGCCAATTCCTCAGACTTATCGCAACTCTAAAGGGCCCGGCGATGGGACAATGTCACACTGACAAAGAGGGCAACCGCATTTCCCGAGCTTGCTCAGCCACCAATTACTTTAGGTCCTTTGGCCAGACCACAACACCATCCAATTCCCCAACTGCCCAAATTGCAGCTCACCTCTCCCCAACACTAACAATGAGCGCCGCTGGGATCGTCAGTGCTGTCTGTCAAACACCACGCGGATCCCCTTGGAGTTCTAGATTGCTCGTCAGTCACCACACCCCTATTGCGATCGGTCAAAGCATACCTTGTAAGGAATCGGAATGAAATAATCCGCCGCCATCTCGCAATCCCTCACCGTCGTCTCAAAGATCCTGAGCACGCCCACATCGCCCGCCCTCCGGTCCTCTCCTCCCTTCCCTCCGCTGCCGTCCACAACGCCCGCCCCGCCCCACCGCCGGAACAGCTTCGCAAGCATGAGATACAGCTCCGCTTGCGCAAGCGCCATACCGAGACACACCCGCGTACCGCCGCAAAACACAGTCAAGTACTTCTCCAACCGCGCGCCGTCCTCGACCCACCGCTCCGGATGGAACCCAAACGGGTCATAGTAGATACGCGGGTCCGTCTGCGTCTTGTACGTGCTCATCCCAATTACCGTCCCCGGCGGGAGGTGCACACTCCTACCGCTGCCGTCCTTGTCGTGATACACCAGCGTCTCCTCGGGACACACCCTCGCCAGCCGCGAACTCGTCCCGAACCCAAGCCGTAGCGTCTCCTTGACGACGCCCCGCAGGTACGGCAGATTCTCCAGCTCCGCCAGCGGCACCACGGCATCCCGGTCCGGGATCGCGGTAAACAGCTCGTCGCGCAGCCGGCGCAGCGTCGAGGGCCGGTTGAGGAGGTGGAACACGGCCAGGGACAGCGTCCACGACGTCGTGAGCGTGCCGCCCTGCACCAGGATCTGTCCGTCCTGCGCGAGCCGCGAGACCGTCTTCTCCGCGGGCGGCAGGAGCTTGGAGGAGAGCATGTCGTGGAAGATTGTCGGGTGGCTGACGTCCAGCTGCCACTTTTCCGTGCCCTGCGTGGCTTTGATCTCGCCGATTTGGTTTTTGATATCGTTCTTCATCTTGAGGAAGCCGCCCCAGCCTGTTGTGGATGTGATGTGTAAGTGATGAGCTTCTGTGAGCAGACAGGCAGTTGTGAAAAGACAACGAAGATAATGCTTACCGGGAATGAAACGTCCGGAAAAGGACTCTGGTAGTGCGTTGACCAGCGTCAGAGCCCAGTTCATGTGCTTGATCATGGGCCCCAAATGCGTGCCCATGAGGAGGTTATCAGTCACCACCTTGCCAAACGTCTCGTCCTCGACTGTGAAGATCCCAATTAGCTCCCCGGCTCGATACATGTCAATCTCCAAGAGCGTGCTACTCACTAAGGTGGTCACTCCTGGCGAAGCTATATTCGTTAATGACATCTGGCCGTCGTGTCAGTGACAAAAACTCTACACCCATTCGGCAAAGACGTGTGAAGAAGGGTTGCTTTACCATTAGTAAAGGCCGAAAACGGATACATCACATCCAGCGGCTCCTTGGTCCTCTTGCTGAGCTCCAAAAGACGATCAAGCAGCGCGTCAACCCGTTCCTCGATGACAGGCTGCAGCTTGCGGACCGTCTGCGTAGAGAAGAAAGGGTTCAACGCCGCGCGCCTCAGTTTGTGGTGATCATGGTTCACAGTCGCCAGTGCGCTCTCTCCAGTTCTCGTTAGCTCATGACTCTCTCGTCAAAACAATTCAACTCCCATTGAATCAACTTACCAGGAGATCCAAACTAGAAAATCCAGTCAGCAAATCGTATTCACTCCTCTCTTTACCCCCCTCCTCTCTCTCTCTCTCTCTCTCTCTCTCTCTCTCTCTCTCATAGAAAGATCAAAGTTAAAACAGAATAAGCATCACATTACCTGCTGCGTATAAAACCCCCACTTCTCCCTAACCCTCCCCGGCCCCGTATACAGCTCCGAAAAGAACTCCGGGTCGCCGACGTGCACCTCCCACGGGCTAATCCGCACCACGGGCTAATCCGCACCACGGGCCCGTAGTAGCGGTGCAGCTCAATGATTTTGAACGTGTACTGCCCGCCCAGCACGATATCATAGTAAAACTCGTACAGCTGCGTCAGCGCCGCGAGACGCGGGCCCGGGACGTGGGAGATGGGGCTGAAGTAGAGGCGGCGGACGCCGAGCTGGAGGGCGTAGAGGAGCCATAGGCCGGAGAGGAGAGCTGCGAGGTGGGTTGGGGTGAGGGTCGGGGTCAGGCCTGACAGGAGGGTTTGTATCGCCATCTTTCTCTTTTTTTGCGCTCCCGTGCGGGTATCCTGTGCGATGGGAAGTTGTTGGAGGCACGGAGAGGACGAGAAAGTTGCCTTTCTCTATCTCGACTCGAGTAGGTTCTTGCTGCATCTACCCGAGAGGCCGGGTCCCCGTAGACCATATAACAGACCCGACCACCACCGTCGCCGCCGCCGCCACTACCATCACCTCACACACACACACACCCCAGTCGTCCCCAAAACTACCCTACCTTGCCTACCCCGTGCCGGGAGGATACGTGCTTAACGGGAACAAAAGTGGCGCCAGCGTGTGGTGCCGCCGAGAACAATGAGGTTTAGCGAACCTGCCTAGCGCCGCCACTAGCATGGGGGGTGGGAAGGTGATGGGGGAACAAAACTGGCTTGGTAGTCGGGCTTGCGCCGAAGCAACTTTTTCCGTCATCTTGGCGAAAAGATTGTGGGCAGTCGAAGCTGAATTGAGTAGCAGGCACCTCCTTTTCTTTCTTTGCTGCCTGCCAGTGTCCGTGTTGAAGACGAAGAAGAAAGTTTCGGGTGTCCCATCAAATGGACTAAGTTTTGCGGCCGAAGCAGCGGGGGGACTGTGGCTCGGATGCCCGGGTCGGGGGCGCGCTACGATTCGAGTTATCCGTATACCTAGTTTGAGTAAGAATATACCGGATGAAAAAAGTCAATGGCTTTTCTCCAAGTACTCACTCTCCGTCGTCTGCATGGCATCTGGCATGGCATCTTTGATCGTGTTTCTCGGATCAGAGATCTCGGACGGATCGTGTTTGGGGATGGGAACGGGGTTCCGGAACCGATCGATACATTGTGTTGAGATTATAACCCTCATTGAGCAATGGAAATCGAATCTTGGGCTTCGCAAACAAGTTATACCATGGGAACTGGTCGTCACACACAGATCCTAGCGTCAAATATCAGACAGATCGGACAGATCAGATCTAGCCAAGAGACAATGTGCCGCCCAAACAATGATCGTAATTAATATAAAAGTCCTTCGATCTTACATGGTAAAGAACCACATGTCGTTTGCTGCCACGCGCGAATTTGAAACCAACAGAAACCACACAAACAGAGCCTCATGAGTTCTAAGCCTAGCTTCTAGGTCTGGAAGCAAGCAAGCAAGCACCGCCACAGAGGTGCAGCATCCCCTACGTATATTCCGAAGCACGTGAGGTCTTAAAGTAAGGTAAAGTTACGAACAGGCCCACCCCCGACCCCATTTCCTGTGGACCGGATGAAGTTGAAATTTTGACTTCCCAACGGCAAACACCATGTCCGTATGGAGGATCCTGGAGGAAAGACCACCGAGACCCGGGTAAGCTTTATTTCGGAGGGGCTTTGGACCGGGTTCGCCTCCCACCCGCGGAGTGCCGTTGCATGGGAGCTTCAGGGTTGGGCAACAGGTACGTTGTTCACACGTGATCATTGCTTGGCTCCCATTTCTTCGCGGATAATCTTGATTTATTTCGTCTCTAACCGAAGTGTGCGTCTTCTGCCGTCGTGGATAGCTCAAGACACCCAATGAAGAATAGGATGGCCCTGCCAAGTTGCCAAGAGTTCAATGACAAGAAGTGGTCAGCACCACCACCACCATCATCACGTCTTTGCGGATTGGTGGTACGGGTAGAGATGACGGCATACTGTGTACAGCAGCAGGAAATCCCGGTGCTGTGCCGCAGATGAAGGAGGAACTTGAGAAGGGGAAGAAAGGTCCCCTAAAGTCTGGACCAGTCGAGCTGCAAAGCTCAACGTGTGCCGGGCGACGATCTGCGAGTGTACATGAAGGGTCGTCACGGGAATGACGTCGCGACCGCCTTCTTGTCGCTTTGCCAGTTCGATCGTCTATCGCTTTCCTTCTCTCTCCTCCAAAGTCCAAGAGGCTTGTGAGGCTGTAGATGCTATCATTGCCAACGATTACAATATAGATGCCTAGAAGTGGAATCCATTTCGTAAATTGTTTCTGGAAGAAGAAGCATTGGCACTGACTATCCGTCAAAAGACGCTATGAGAGCCGAGTCAAGTCAAGCACATGGAGAAATAAGCTTCCAGGGGACATGGCAGTTCTGGCACAACCGTTCGTCCCTCCTTACGGGAGCCAGCCCACTTGCCCACTCCGCTGGGATCATGCCCCTGTACTTTGTACAAAAGGTACGATAAGCTCCGGTGGAGGCATGGGTCCCTCCTCTCGGGCTGTCACAGCCCTCTAGAGGGTTGCCTCCATAGAGCTCCGATGTCCATGGCAAAAGGGTGAACACCGCACATGGTGAATCCGTAAGGCTGATTGAGACTGGAGAGCCATGTCAGGTCCCCTACTATTGACACCGCCAACTGGGGTCTTGGTCTTGTTCATGGTCGGTCAGAAGGGGGGCATCCCTCCAACGGCGCCTATTCTACAGATACCATGCCCCTGGTAAAAGAGCACTGCCCAATACTGTGGTGACCCACGATGCCCAAAGAGGAACTATCAAGTCGCGACTTCTTCGGCTTCCCTCTCTTCTGTGGAGGACCTACAGGCTATTACCATGACCTAGACGGCGCCAAGGAAGAGGCCTAGCGGGATGTCATGGTGAGATTACCACGCTACGTCCTTCCACGCCTACACCGTTGTACCTTTTGCGCGCAAATGGACGAATAGCATCATCTACGGCTGAACTTTTGCCAAGACCAGACTAAGAAAATCCTCAATCACACCTTGTCACGTCGGTCTCCCTCGGTCTCCCTCGGTCTCTCTCTCTCACTAGCCAGCAAGAGTGGCAGAGACGTGACCGTCGCCGTATGCCGGGCCAGCTCATGGAGTCCTTCGAGGGACTTTGCTGAGCTGGTTAAGCTTGTTTTTCTTGGTAAAAACCAGGTACCCTTTCTTAGCTCCGGGGTGTGATGTGCGCCTTGCGCTGCCTCTCGGTAGAGACCAAAGATTGCAGACCAGAAATGACGAGAGGGGGCCGCCGCCCAACCAACCAACCCCTCTTCACCCCAGACTACCTATCTGTATCTGTACGGTGTGACGGTGTAACTAGCAGGGCTCATTTCAAAGGACAATGTTCGGTGGGTGGTGGGACTAAACCGCCGGCCACCGGTCGAATGCATGTAAGACCGGGCGCCGCTTGCGGGTGCCTCTAATACTTAACGACTTGGCAGCCTACCTCTCCTTCACTTCAGCCTTGAATCCAGTCTTACTTCACTCCCCATCAACACTTGTTACTTGATAAAATCTCCCCCCTCAATTCAAGTATTTTGTGTAACAGCAGCCATCTCTCATAACCATCAAACATTCTCCAACGAGGAAAAGAACCAATTGGGCCCAACATACCTCTATAAGCGCCCGCCTGGTTACAACAGCAACAGCAACAGCAACAGCAACAGCAACAGCAACAAACCCAACAATACCCAACCCCCAAATGGACTTCATCCTCGAGTCCCGCGTCCCCAAAGGCGGTGGCTCCAGCGGTAGCCGCGGCTCAAGCGGCGGCAGCAAATCCTCAAAATCCTCAAAACCAAAGAGCGGCAAGAACAAGTACAAAGGCGGCGGGCGCGTCGGTGCCGCCGGCGGGGGCGGAGGAGGAGGAGGAGGAGGAGGAGGCGGCGGCTTCAGCGCGCTTCCCCTCTGGGCCCGGATCCTCATCATCGTTCTGATTGTGTGGTTTGTTCTGTTCCTGGTCTCTCTAGCGTTTTACACGGTCAAAGGTAAGACTTCTTTCCCTGGGTTGTTGAAGAAGTATTTCAACGGCCAGTTTGACTTACATTACACCAAAAAAACAGAACTCAAGCGCAAAAAGGAAGGAAAGAAATTCCGCATCGGTCACGTCCTCGGCCACGCCCTCCTCGTCTCCACGGGCCTCTGGATTCCCTTCACGCTCTACAGAAAGTTCATTTCCCGGCGCAAGGACAAGTCCGGAGGAGGAGGTGGTGGCGGCGACGGCGACGAGACGAAGCGCTCCGCTGGCGGCACGTACGCCAAGATTGAAGAGGGTAGGAGGTCCGATGACACGGGTAACCGAGACTCTTGGTACGCCGGAGCCAGAGCCGGTGCCGGTGCCGGCACCCACAACAACGCGGACAGCAAGTACGAGCCCATGGGTTACGCGCCGCATCATCGGTCCCCGTCACCTGCTCCACCCCCGGCCGGTACTGCTCCGACGCCCACCGGTGCGGCGGCCGAGTATTACATGCCGCAGCCGCCTTCTCATACCGCGCCGACTCAGCATCCGCCGCAGTACAGCTAAAGGGTGTTCCGGGCGGACGATATCACGGAGCCGTGATTATATGATGATGGACAGGGATCTATGATGATATGCCTTGTCTCAATGTTTTGCTATTTCCTTCTCTTCTCTGGATCGATACCCCATTTTCTTCAATTTAGCGTTTCTCGTGTTGTTATCGGAGGATGTATGGATGGATGCTCGTCATGAAATAGTACATAGAACAAAACTTCAGGAGAGACTTTACGGCTCATTTCCTTTTTGCGTATATCACTCCTGTATGACTACTCTGTGTCTTGCAATGTTCCAAACCCCTAATTACCAGTTGCCGGAGCAAAAGATGCCTAGTCCACGCACTGCAATGCAGTTGGATCCCGTACGGCCTCTAGATCATGCAGCCAACAACCTCATTCTATCCATCCTCTCAAGGGTACAGCATCGTCTCTCGCCTGTCGTCCTTCGGCCACTCGTCAACTATTGATAGACGACGGATGACGGCAACACTCATTCCCGCCCATCTAGGAGGCCAGGGCACCTCAGCCAGCGCTCTCCTGGCCGGAACCTGGCATCAATTCATGTGGTTTCCTGCTTGCTCCCGTCAGCGCGTCAATTCCCTGTCTTTCCCGCTCTCCTTCAAATATCACTTACACCGCGCAGCCAGACCTTAGCTCATCAAGACCTTACCCAAGGCAAGCCCGGTGTTTATACCGATCGGATTTGAACCTGACCAACATCATCAGCTTCAAGGGCCCTAGGCAAAAGACGAAAATAATGCGAATAAAACGTACCTCTCAGCAGACCTTCGGTCACCATCATCACCCTCTCAATGAAGCCCACAAACCCTAACTCCACTACCTCTTGGCCGCAGCCCCGCCATCACCGCCCCCAGCCCGATTCTTACTCGAAGCCGATGCCGATGCGGAAGCAGAAGAACTCGACTCTGCGCCGTGCCATCCTCCCGTCTGCGAATGTTGTTGTTGTTGCTGCTGTTGCGCCATCTGCATCTGCATCTGCATCTGCATCTGCCGCTGCATCTGCCGCTGCATCATCGCCCGCTGAGCCGAGGCACCGTAATCGCCGCCGTCATTCTGAACGGCCATATTGGCCTGGGTAACACCACCACCACCAGTACTGGTACTGGTGCTAGTACCAGCAGGTCTCGGCTTCTTCGTCTTTGCAAGTCCTCCCAGAGCCGTGGTATCGTACCCGCTCCGACCCATTCTGTCCAACACGCCCCCTTGCCTGCGTCCTTGTCTCGTTGACGTCCTTTAATTCAAATAGATTGTGCGACTGTTCGTCGAGCGGTACGTAGGCGGGACCTAGTTATATGAGAGAGTTTCTCGCTTATATCTGTGTCTTTCGAAATCAGGAGGAATCTGGTTCCCAACAGTCGCTTCGGTATTAAAAGCGCGAATGCCCAGTCTGCAGGGACGACTTCTTCTCGTAGATAGATTCAGGTTAGATGGAAAGAGTGCGTCAGCGCGGCCGCGGTTGTAAAAGAGCAAGGCCCCGGCGGCACCCAAATATCGTCTCGTAAAGTATCGTGTGTTTGCTATTTTCTCTTGCGAATGACATGATCTGAGTGTGAAATGGCTCAAATCTCTGCTTGAAGAAAACCAGCAACAGGAAGATTCAACGATGACTCTTGTTATGGTTGATTTTGGAAGCCAAGAAAGCTGATTAATAGTGACTGATTGTTGATTTCCGCCGTTGACTTCCCCCCAAACAATATGGTGCAAGTGTGTGTATGCGTGAGTGTGAGTGGTGTTAGTCTGTGTAATGACAAAAGTCGCAGAACCAAGCAACTTCTTCGACCTCTATGCGTCTTTCCCCTTTGCTTTATACAAGCCAAATAACGAATAGTAGAGTCACAAATCCCGTATTGCTTGCCCAAGTTGTCTTGCTGCTTGCTCCAAAAGAGACCAAGATTGCGAAATTTGTCCCAGACTTTTTTTGTATTTTGTTTGCCCGTCACTGACTCAGCCTGTCTCAGGAGAGTTCGTCTTGGTGTCACTTTCTCCAAAGGGGGTACCCAGGAAAGGGAGATCAACAGGGACCGTATTCCTCATTATTGTTGTGGTTTTTGCTTTTTCCTCTCCGCCCTCCCGTCCTCTCCCCTTCCCCTTCGCCTTCCGTTTCCTTTTCCCTAATTGACGGACTGCAGATGCACTGTCGTTGTTTCCTTGTACAACCAAATCTTGGAAATATAGTGAGACAACTGTACTAGACCCCATCTCACTGGTATTTGTTGAGCAAGGGAGGTAGTCCACCTGCATTGGCATGTCTCCCCATGCCCTTGGCCCCTTGGCCCCCCTCTCCTCCCCATTGTCTGGACTGACACAAAGTTCCGAAAGACAATAGACCCCCAAAGAGACATGCAACAGTACACAGACACTGTCAAGCTTGTCAGATCCATTCGCAAATCTCGGGGAGGCCACGGAGATGAATCCGGCTGGGTGGTCAAATGGGGCACGGCTGGGATTGGATCGGGACCCGCTCCGCGAGCATGACGTCCCCTTGGTAAGTTCCGTTCAAGAGGCTCAAGTAAGACGTTCTTCGTTCCCCTGCGATGATCATGATGATGAGGGATGTAGCTCACCCCCAATGAATCAGAAGGATTCGCTCGCTAGACATCGGAGGGCGATTGGCACTTACAGAGGGCTCTAGGAGTCAGGGCTCACTAGTCAGGCACGGCGCCACCAGGAGATGTTGTCTCATTCCGTCACGGGAGGGAGTCCTTGGCATCATTCTCATTGTGGTTTTCGAAATGCAATCATTAGCGACGAGATCTCCCATACTCCGGCAAGCCGAGATGACGGTAGCTCTCACTACGGCCTTAATCCAAGGAAACGTCAAATCGAACTATCGATGCTTGGTGTCTCAAATTCCGAGATAAATTCCCTGGCGCTATCTTGCCGTGTGTTCCAGCGCCGGGCTGCCGGCGACAGATGGTCGGGCATTTTTCTAAATACCCAGAATTGATCATGCTCGAGCATCTGTCAAAGGTGACAATTTGGCATTCATAGGAAGAGAAGTGTATTAGGATTGGAATGAGGTCCACCAGAAGGAATCATCTATACGAAGATGTACCAACTTACGCTATTCATCCACACCGGGAGCAGACCGACAGGACCTTGGAGCTTCTTTACGGGCATTGTCGCAAATGCGCCCAACAGCTCCGTACTGCTATTTACCAATCTCCGTTATCAAGGCGTGTTGAGCTATTGACCGAAAGCCGCTCATTGCTTCGTCGTATCTCCATTTTCCGTGGATTGGCCAGCTTCCTTCGGTTTATCGGTCGGCTCCTCCTTTTCCTCGACTCGATGTTGTGCGAGGGCGTCTCTGATAGTCTCTATTAGTGAACTAGCTCTGGAGTCCTGACTGACGGGGTCAAAAATGGCTGTACGTACCTGAGAATGTTGCGGCAGCTGGATTGAGGCGTACTCCCCTTCGGTGAAGACAGGTCAGCCTTGGCTGGTTGAGGATCCTGCTCTGCCATGGCATCTTGCAGATCAGACAGCCCTGACTCCTCGCTCTGCATGTTTTGTGTCGTCTGCCTGTGGCTGTATGGTGACTCGTGACCACCCCTGCTCTTGTCCCCATCCCGACCAAGAAACCGTCGAAGTCTAGCCCGAAACCCTCTCTTCTTCTGCTCCTTCCTCGCCGCCCTCTTCTTTGGCTTCTTGCTGGCACGGCGCCGAGGGTGCTGCTGCTCAGAACCAGAAGATGGCTGTGCCGAAGAATCCCAATCACCCGCCAAGACATTCGGTGGCAGCTCCAGGTCCTCTACATCGTCAACGTCGATATCTAGGTCCTCTTTGGAAGAAAAGGGCCCCCGGGACTCGGTCGATGCCCTCGACGTCCGCACACCTTGCGGCGACTTCACACGCGGCACGGGTTTGGCCTGTTTCTCTTTCATCGATTCCATGCTCCGGCTGGAGTGGGACTGCAGCCTCTCCAAGGTCGCAAAGAGGCCCTGACTCCTGGATCCACTGTTGGTAGGAAAGTGTATCATGGTCGGCGGTGCGAACGTCGAAGCAGCAGAGATGGCACCGGCTCCGCAATCTGCCATTGTGTCTATCGGCGAACCTTTGGCAGTGATGAGCGCCGTCAGGACGGTAACGGCGCCGGTGTGGTCGAGGAGGATGCCGATGAAGGGTATACTGGTAGGTACATGTACTCGTAGTGATGTGATGTTCCGTTGCTTCAAGTCAAGCGAAATACGGGATGCTGAGGAGGGTGGACGATGGATCTGGAGATTCCAAGTCGGCGAGTCTGTGACGGATGCGCCTAGGTAGTCAGAGGTAAGTGAGCTTCTCAATGTGGTGCTCCTACGCGGAAGGTGAAAATTATGAGAACCTGCCCTAACAGCGTCGAGTGTCGAGTTGAGGAAGGCGAGCCTCCAGCCGAAGCAGATAGCAAGCCTGTCGCCGCCATTTCCATTGGGAAGCTGCGTTGTACACCGAGCACAACTCTATAAGAGATCCCGTACGTGAGTTACCCGTTATTTTGCAGCAAGAGGCACTCTCACAAACCCATAGACAACTGGAAATGAGCTGCAACGTCAATGTTATCGTTGATTCATACTTATAAAATAGACGGACAAGTAGATTCGCGCCGAGGTATCATCAGCCGTACAGACAATCCTCGCATCAGAGCCGTGAAATAATAGCAATACCCAAATACTCCTCCCCAAGGGCCGTGAGACCGTGATACATACGTTCAAGAAGCCGCCAAACTCCTATATCCTTGTCCAACTGAAATGAACATCATTAATACGCTTCTCAATTTTTTTACATCCTCATAAAATCCTCAAGGCCAGACACTGGGGCCAATGATCTCGCCAGGGGCCACTTGTTTCCTGATTGCCGTGCCCTTCCAGTCCATCGTTTCAAATACGTCGACATTACCCCACCATTGTGGTGGCCTGGCGGATGTGAGATACAGCGTGAAGAAGATGATAAGCGTGGCCACGATAAGGCCACAGTCGAGGGCCGCCGAGGTGATGTAGTTGTACTGCAACCACCAGCCGGTGTAGCGACGCTTGATGAAGAAGTTGAAAATGGTGCCGACAAGCGCCCAGCAGAGGTAGATGTAGACACTGGCAGGAGGGAGCCAGCCAGAGCCTCCGTACAGGAGAGGCGTGTTAACGTAGCGCCAGATGCTCTTGGGCCACTTCCGGGCAAGGAACCAAGTGATGACTGGTGTGATGGCGCCAACGAGCCAGAACCACTGGAGAGAGGCGTACAGCGCCTGACCGGAAAAGATGCGGGCGGGACCGATCGCACCCCAGATGATTGATGCGGTGAAGAAGACGCGACCACCGGGGCAGGTGTAGCTGTTGGGTTGGTCGGGCTGGCAAACGTCGGGGATGGTGCCGAGGGCCCAGTTCATGACAGCAATCTGAACAATAGCTGACCAGAGTGATGCGACAAGCTGAGAGGCGAACATGGTACGAGGGGGTACCTTCATGTAATGACCAAGCTTGAGATCCTGCGCAAAGTACAGCGCTTGCGACATGCAGATGTAGCCGTAGTTCTTGAACATCATCATCGCGAGGGGGCGGCCCGGCACCATGTAACCGATGATGAACTCGGTCAAGACGTTGAGGCCAAGCTGGATGTTGGTGATGGCCTGCACGATACCGATAGGAACGATCCAGAAAACGGGAATCAGAATGCACACAACGTAGGCCCAGGCCGGGAAACCAGTTGGCCACCCAGCAACAACACCAAACGAGATGGCAACCATGACGACGAAGAGTGCTAAGAAGAGTAACTGTCAGCCTAGCCCAAAGGAGGATACCATTGATTGGACCTACCCAGATACCACCAATCCTCAGCGTCTCGGTACTTCTTCATCAAACGCATGTGCACGTCATCCTCTTGATGGCGCGCCAGTTTGAACTGGCCCCAAATCTCCGTGCCATGGTACAGAACAACGTGGACGACAACGGCAGCCACAGCGGCGAACGAAAGGGCGTAGGCCAGAGCGAATTGAGTCGGCAGGTAGAGAGGAGAGTAGTCGTTGTAGGCGGTCTCGTTGAACTGCAAGTTGGCGTCGAGGATTCGGGTGACGTTGTAGACGGCGCCGGTATTGTCGAATGATTCGGAGCTCTGTACGGGGAAGTAGTCGGAATACCAGGTTCCGGAGAAGTGGATGCCGGATGAGACGATGACGAAGAAGATGATGATGCCCGCAATCACGTTGGCGATGGCGTGGAAAGGCGGGATCAGCGGCGACGTCAGGTAACCTGAGATGACGGTCCAGTCAAATGAGATGGGCATGAGTCCATAACCCGAAAGGCCACCAAAGACCTTGTTGACAATCTCGTTCTTGGGCGCAATCCAGCAGATCCAGGTAAAGTACGAAAGTCCCTGGAAAATCCAACCGGGGAACCAGTACCAGATGAAGGCACCGCTGCAAACGATAAGGAACCAGCGGTAGCGGCCAATCTTCCAGCCGTTGGTCTTGGTCGGATCAGAGCCAGAGTGGTCGTGGAGGGTGTAGAAGAGAGCACAGTTGACCAGGTTCGAGGGCCAGATCATGGCAGAGGGCCACACAAGGAAGCGTCGCGCCAGACCGGCCAGACCGTATCCAGTGCAGAGGGTAGTGATGCCGAAGAGCAACTGGAAAGCCCAGCCAAAGTGCTGCTTGTAGAAGAGCTGCTGTGCAAGCAAAACATCGGTCGCGTACAAGACACCACCTCCATACGCAGCCTAGTAATCATAGTTAGTTCTGTCGTTGGTCTTTTTCCTCTCTTAAAACCCTCTTTTGCCTCGACTCGAAATCTTGGCTACTGCTCTTCTCCAATCTGGGGTATCGACGAGGGCCCCGCTCCTGATAAAAATCGTCCGAACTCACATTAGACATGGCCACAATGATAACGTGCTCCTTGTAGTTGAAACGGCCGGGTTTAAGGTTGAACTTGACACCGAAGACATTCTGCTCCTTGTCGGGCATGACTAAATCCCAACCCAGACCAATAGGATAGGCGATGAGCTGGACGACATAGGTGGTGATGGTGACGCTGGGGTTGCGAAGTGAGAAGAGCATGTTGACACCAGAGCCGACAGTGCAGAGAAGCATGCCGATGACCCATGCGCGAATCGTATTTGCTGGCAAATCGACATCGTAATTCCGTACTACAGCGCGGACCTTTGTTGCGGCGGCGCATCATGTTAGCGACTTGAACTAGTTTCTCTTTTGGCACTTTTGGCACTTTTCTCCTGCCTGTCCCTCCCATAGCGATACTGGTTCTCGATCCTGAGCGGAGTTTCGCGACGTACCTCTGGATAAGGCGAGTTGTCCTCCATAAGAGCCTGTTCGATCTCGAGACCCTTCTCGGCGTTTCCGGTGGCGAGCGCGGTATCGACATCATTGAGCTCGTCAATTGGCATATTCGGATCGAGCTTGTGTGCCTTCTCGAACTGAGCCAGAGCCTTCAGCGGCTCGATGCCCGTGGCCTCGGCATCGTCGTCGAGGGCGGGGTAAGGCGTGATCTCCTCGGGCTCGCCACGTTTGCGAAAAATGGACGGCATCGTGACGACTGTGCCTCTCTCCTTCGCTCTACTGTCGACGGAGTAGATTGAAAGGTGAGGGTTAACGTGCGCCGATTGCGGATGGGCTGAAGGGCGACCGACGAGATAAGCAAAATGACGAAAAGAAGGCCCCAAGGCCACAACGGGGGAGACTGGGGACAGCGGGCGCCAAGGGCTTTTTCAATCAAATCAAGCGAAAAGATGGCGGCGGCGGCGGCGAAGGTGGTGCCGGTCGGCAGTCTGCAGGCTAACAAGACACCAAGACAATGTGACAAGGTAGAGTCAGCCCGCCAGACGAGTCAAAGTCCCACTTCCCGAAGATGTCCAGATTGAACACCAACAAGAGGCAAGATGGCTTCAGGCCTCGATGAAGTGATCCCTAGGAATTCTGCAAAGGAGAAAGTGTGTGCCCGTTGTGTGTTTTTGGGTTGAGATTCGCAGCAATCGAAAGAATGGCGCGCCCAACGGTACCCATGAGTCGACTCTCTATGTACTCCGTACGGAGTACTCTCACTATCCCGTATCTATCCCCCCCCCCCAATATCATCCCGTGTATGTGTGTGTGGGTTCCTCTTTTGGGGCCTTGTCGGCGACTTGCGGCGCTGGAAGAGACGGGGGACCCAAGGGGACCAGAAGAAATCGGTCCTCTAGCGTGCTATCACGACACCAAATGCAGCAGCAACACGACAGCCCGCAGGCCCAGCGGCCGTTTGTCGACCTTCCTAAATTGGGGTAGCGACATCCGAGGGGCTGTGGAGGAGGCGAGGGGAAAAGAAGAATGGTTCGCCGGGGACATGGTGACATTGGAAGGACAATGGGCGACAACTCTGATCCACACCTGTCGAACCTCTAGGCTCTAGTACAAGTCGGGGCCGGGGGATACCTAAAGCTGACTCTCTGTTGGTCCAGAGTCAACGCCTCGGTGGCTCGATGCTTGTCGGTCTGGCTGGCTGGAAAGACGAAGGGATTCTGGCAGCCCGGCTTCTTCCCATATCGAGCTCCTCTGTCTCCCACCCTTTGTCCGAGAAACGTGAGGATCAGCAGATCACAAAGCTGCCGATGTGCCCCTGCCACCGATCCGGGAGTTGGTGCATGCTGCTGATCGTCCGAGGAGCAAAAACGGGGAGGACGAATGATTGACGAACCAACTGCAAACGGCTTCGAGTGACCTTCGTCCGATGTCTGGAGAGTCTGTACTTTGGCACATTTAGCCTGGGCATCGTTCCCGCAGTTCAGACAAACACTGAGCTGCCAGTTCGTGCCAGTTCGTGCCAGTTCGAACTTGGAAGATTATCTAGGTGCCAGGTGCCCTCTGAGTCTGAGTCTGAGTCTGAGTCTGTGTGAAAGCCACGGCTGGCTGCCAGCGCGCCAATGCTAATGCCACTGTAGCCGTCCATTCGGCCCAGCCGCGGCCATTGCGCGAGACTTGGCGAGTCACTGCAACGGGACTTTGGTCGAAATAAGCCGTATCGACCAATCAACAGCCGTTCTTTTCGGCCGGGAAAAGCTGGGCTTTCTTGGAGAACCTGGCTTATCTCTGGTTGGCGAATGAACCAATGTGAATGGACACTGGGAAACCCCCGTCAGTGCTGACAATCTAATCTTATTTCCGATGGTGCCTTCTTGCCTTCTCCCGCTGTTGTCGGTTAGATGAATGTTCACCGGGACTTGATACTCTTTTAAGCTTTATCGGACACGCGTTGTTGGACGATCCACAGATTGGAGTCTTAGCTTGTGAACTCCTGGATTTGAAGCGTCGGTTATCGATGGAAGATGACCTCGGTGGGTTCTCCGCCAGACTTGCGTGGTCTCCTGGTTCCTTTTTCTTTGAATCATCGGTAACACGATGTTATTGGACCTTCTGAAGGGCTCTTGTAGATCAAAAGAGGACCTCTCGCAGTCAACGTTAAGAGAATCAGAAAACCCAGAATCGAAATGGCAATTCAGTCATCTTGCTCTAGTAAGTTGGAGGTGATGCCCGGTACTATGTAGTCGGGCGCTGTTTGAGGGTATGCGCTTTGTTGAGGAATTTGATCTTGCAGCGAAAGTTGTCAGCTTCCTTTCGAGTCAACTTATGATGCGTCAGTCTCAGATGCCTAGGCTGGATACTATCGTCGCTGTGGTTCGTAGCCGTTGTAGCCTAGGTACGGGTTACGGAGGTCTATCGTCGAGGAAGATGAAAGTCTGCTGGGGCTACCTCGCCCAGAGAGACGACTCGACATTGTTGAGCAAGAAGATGAGAAACATCGAACAGTAGCCTGATCTGGGTAAGGTAAGGTAAGGTAAGTAGGTATCGCAGGCAAGAAAGGCCTTGGAAAGAATGATTGCCTCCGGAATCCACGGTGACTTCTTTTTTTGGGTTCCTGCCGTCTGCCGCCTGCCGGCGTACCTGCTGCGAAAGTGCAGTGCCAAGACGGGAACGGGGCCCACCCGAGCTGTCACTGGAGTCTGGAGGGAAGAGCGGAAGGAGCCCCCCGGCTATTCAGGTCCGGGCCCCAAGTCGCAGCTTCCCAATGTTAAATGCCGTCACTCATCCACTCTATAGGGCCAACCCGTCTGAGCATTGGATCTGCGATCCAATTGTTCCTTCCCTGCCAGCCTGGATTTTGCAAGTTACCTAAGGTACCTTTGGTACGCACCTACCGCACCTCACCAAACATGTCAGACATGTCATAGCACGTAACAGAAACTCCTTCTCCTCGGCTACTCGTCCAGCAAAAAAGCCAATTCTCAGCTGCACTGGCGCGACACGCAAGTCATCGTACCCGACCTCTTCGTACCTATGTACTTGATCAAAGAGGAACTCCACCGGCAAACTCGGCATTGGATCGTACCTGCTCCAGTCCAGTTCTTCCCCCGTTTACTGTCTGCTCCACGTTCCCAGCAAAAGTTGACGAGCTGATGCCGCACCACCAAGTTGACCAACTGCAGTTGGCCATGGCCTTGGCAGAGAACCCTGGAGGCCCTCGCACTAAAAGGTCAGAGACATCATTCCTGTCTAGCCCATCGCGATTCCCTCCCCTCTTCGGCCCGTGATCTGGGGCTATGAGGCGTGTCTTTCATGCACTTGGAGCTACCATTTCCGACAAAACTTGACCATAAGGAAACTCCCGTACTCCGCTCGGTCTACCGTATGTCGTCATTCATCCCTCATCATCGGCTTGACGGCCACCTTAGCTACGGATACCTCCAATGTACATCATCCTTCGTGGTCTACGGCCTGCTGTTGTATTTAAGCCTCAAGCGGTGATCCCCCAGGCTTGGCAATTTCGATCTAAACATCAATCCATCGCATCTTCCCCTTCCAGTGCATGCCAATTTCCATTCAGATCCTTGATACGATACCCAAAGCTACCAAACGTCAATATGCCTCTCGCAAGCCACGTAGGTCTCAACTATCATCCTTCACCGATGATTGATGCATCATACGATGATACTACAACGGAATTGACACCTTGTGCAGGTCAATCCAGAGGACATTATCCAACGCCTCCAGGCAACTCACATCACAGCTGCGGGCAATGCCAATGCTCTCAGCCAAAGTATATCATCACACATCCAGCCCTATGACAGCCGATACACCAGTCAAACCAACATTCCCAAGTACAAAATCCCCGATGAAGGCGCCCCAGGAGACACCGTCTTCCAAATGATCAGAGACGAGTTGGACCTCGATGGCAAACCCAATCTTAACCTGGCTAGGTGAGCCTCCAAGACATTCCCAGCAGGGGCATTCCTACTCACAGCATGCCAAAGTTTCGTGGGAACATGGATGGAACGCAATGCCACCCAACTCATGCAGGAGAACCTCTCCAAGAACCTCTCAGACGCAGACGAGTACCCCGCCATGATGGAGATGCACCAGCGCTGCATCAGTATCATCTCCCACCTGTGGGGTGTCCAGCCTGGTGAAAAGGCCCTCGGCTCCGCTACCACGGGCTCCTCCGAGGCTATCCACCTTGGCGGTCTCGCCATGAAGCGCAGATGGCAGCTGAAGCGCAAGGAACAGGGCAAGGACACATCCAAGCCCAACATTCTCATGGGTTCCAATGCGCAGGTCGCCTTGGAGAAGTTTGCCCGTTACTTTGACGTTGAGGCCCGCATCTTGCCCGTCAACAAGAAGAGTCACTACCGTCTGGACCCGGCGCTTGTGAGAGAGAATGTCGACGAGAACACCATCGGTGTCTTTGTCATTCTCGGCAGCACATACACGGGACACTACGAGCCCGTTGAGGAGATCTCGCAGATCCTTGATAAGTACCAGGAAGAGACGGGCATCGACATTCCCATTCACGTCGACGCTGCCTCTGGAGGCTTCATTGCCCCTTTCACCCACGCAGGGGCTGGCGGTTCCAAGTGGTAAGTCATATCGACTTGTGTGCCCGAATGCCACACGCTAACAACTCGCAGGAACTTTGAGCTCCCCCGTGTCAAGTCAATCAACGTCTCAGGTCACAAGTACGGCCTCGTCTATGCCGGTCTTGGCTGGATCATCTGGCGAGACCAGTCTTTCCTCCCAGAGGACCTCATCTTCGAGCTTCACTACCTCGGAGGCACAGAAAAGTCCTTCACTCTCAACTTCTCCCGCCCAGGTGCCCAGGTCATCGTGCAATACTACAACCTCATCCACCTAGGCTTCGACGGCTACCGCTCCATCATGGAGAACTGCCTCTCCAACGCCCGACTACTCGCACAGAGCCTCGAGGCCACGGGATGGTACACCGTCGTCTCCGACATCCACCGCCGCGCACCTCACAAGGAAGCCAGCGGCGCCGTGAAGAAGATTGTGAACCAGGCCGCCACCGCCGTCGGAGGCGAGAGTGCCGCACCGGGGGAGACATCGGCTGACTACGTCGCCGGTCTGCCCGTCGTCTCCTTCCGTCTGACGGATGAGTTCAAATCCAAGTACGAGCACATCAAGCAGGAAACCGTCTCCCTCATGCTCCGCGCCAAGGGCTGGATCATTCCGAACTACCCGCTCCCGCCCAACGAGGAAAAGATTGAGATCCTTCGTGTTGTTGTCCGCGAGACCATGACGTTTGATTTGCTTGAGCGGCTATTGACGGACATTGTCCAGGTCACGGAGACGCTCATCGAGAATGATGAGATCGATTTGCAGGTCCTGAAGAAGCATCACAGCCGCAGACGGGTGCACGTCAAGGGTGATGAGGAGCAGCACAAGAAGGAGGGTGCTGCGAAGAAGGCTGGAGAGGGGGTTAGAAAGATGGAGGATGGTATCCATCGCGCGGTATGCTAAGGCATAGCTGCGTCGGCCCAAAAAGATAGTATCGGTTCAATGGTAGCAGCAGCGAAAATCTCATAACTTTTGACCCTTCAGGTTTATATTAGCAACATCTAACTCATTTGCAAATTTATTCAGAGACCACCTCAGACCCTCTCATGCTTCGCTTACGTGGCTACCACGTTGACGAGTCTGTGTTCCGCGATAATTGCTCATGCCTGAACACTACTGCTACTCCTCACCGCGTCCGACTCGGAGCGAAGGTCACCAACAGCTATTGACAGGGCCCGGTCTGGACTATGGTGGTAGCTTGGGGATAAGTATCCAGCTCCCGCTTCTTCTGGGAGCATCTTTAGCTCGATGATAGAGCCAATCTATAAGCCACGCATTTTGCGGGTGATTCTAATGCCACTGTTAGAAAGTCTTATGCTTCTCTATTCCCAAATGACTCATACCTGTTGTAAGAATACGTCAGGGTTATGGCCTCTCGACTGGCGGCATAGCCTCAATAGGCTGCGCAGTTCGATACGGAAAGCCCAGTCTCTTCTGCCTAAGAGGCTCTCGACAGCGGCTTACCACTCGTAGATCACTTGGTGGGCTTGAATTCCGATGAAAAGAAGGCATCAAACTCTCATTCACCTCCAGTCAACTGAGCAGACCCTTCAGCCGTCGTGTCCACAACCATTTCATCTTGCCCTTCAACACTCTTGGGTTCCCTGAACGGTCGTCGCTTCTGCCGCGGCGCGCTGACAGGAAACCGCTTGACATTGCCGCATGTCGTGCACTTCGTAACCATGACATCGGCCCAGGGCTTCTTCCGGCCTTTACTCAAATTCTCCACCGTCGTAGCGCACGATTTGCCCTCGATGAGCAACGAGTCACAGAACTTGCACATCATCTGCTTGACCGACGGGCTCGGGCGGATCTGAGCCTTGAGAGAGACGGCTCGGATATCGGAGACGAACCGACGAGCGACCTTTTCGTTTGTGGAGCGTAGCTTCTGGAGCCTGGCGGCGAGCTCATGAGCGTCTTTGAGGGGTGGTGATGAGTCGGCGTCTGGGATTTGTACCTGCACAGTCGCTAGGTAGGAGGCGGCCTGGTGCAGGTAGGATACCCGCGTGTATGCGTGCCGGTTTGGCAGACTTTCGCTTTTGGGCTTTGCCATTATTCTTCTCTCGTCTCGTTGGTTCCTCCTCCCTTGCGAATTTTGTCCCACGTTTCAGAGCCTGAGTGGCATTGAAGTCTTGCGTTGCAACGAAAGTCAGTTCGGACCCTTTGTTATAAAAACTTTTGCAGGGGTGGTTGGGTTTATGGTCGCCAAAAGCCAAACATGATTGTTTCTCCAAAGCAAAGGTTAAGGTTAAAGGCGGGCGTCCACCGTGTATGTACATGATAGATGGACACGGTCTTACCCAAGAGTGGGACTGATTTGATTGTATAAGGTAATCGGGCTGGATTGACTGTGTACATACCATTGCCAGGCAGGCCTACTGCTACCACCACCAAGATACGGACCGTCGAAGCACTTACAGCGTTACCGGCAGGTAAGGAGGAATTTGAAGCCAAAATACTCCGTACCGAGACGAGGAAAGTCTAGTAACGCCTTGATACGAACATCTGCTTATTATGACTGAACAACCGTTTAGTGCGATTATACACGTTACATTTATAAGCATTAGCGGTAGTAGTAGTAGGCCTGGCTGGCAGTGGCACACAGTGAATTTAGGCACAGTCCTTCTGTCCAAAAACGGGTCTGGTCACATGACGTCGCCTGGGGGGAGGGACTCAGCCGCCTTTCCCCTACGCGAAAGCTTTTGACCTGCGCTGCCCGCCTCACCTCTCGCCTCCAGTTCCACGTCGTCCTTGGATCTTCCACTTCCACATCAAATACGGCGCCTCCTCCCATCACGCCTCCCAACCCTACACCTCCAATTGCCATCCGCTTTTAATCCCCCTCGCCTGTCGTGCACTTTTCTCGACACGAGCCCGCGGTTATTTTTTCCTCCTGCGATTTCTATAGTCTTTCGACGCACCTTCCTCTTTACGCGACACAGATCGTCACGTCTCCTGACACCCCAAGCTTCGCATTCGCAGCCTTGGGACCTTTTTCGTCGTTGCGCATCAGTACAACGACCCTTTACCTACCGACACTTCAATAACGACACTCCCGACAATTGACAACATGTCTGCTGAGGAGGATCTCATCGATTACTCCGACGAGGAGCTCCAGACCAACGAGACTGCGGCCGCCTCCAACGGAAAGAAGGCTGACGCTGCCGCCGGTAACAACGTCGACAAGAAGGGCAGCTATGTCGGCATCCACTCGACCGGTTTCCGCGACTTCCTCTTGAAGCCCGAGCTTCTCCGCGCTATTGGCGATTGCGGTTTCGAGCATCCTTCGGAGGGTCAGTCCTGAGTTTATGATACCCTAACCCATACATCATCCCCTCCCCCATCAGCAAAGCGTCCGTCCATCTCGCAAGCCACGCAAGAACAAAAAGCCATCGACGTCGCCACCGAAGAAGAGAGATAAAAACGTACCGAGAAGCGGGAGTCAAGTTGGACATCCAAGTTTTTGTACGGGCACTGCTCGCGAATCCACCGGTGATAGGTGGATTATTCAAGCGGCCGTTTTGGGGGAAGCGTGATAGCACCCCTCGGCCGCGCGAACATTGTGGTGTTCCCGAGTGCACTTCATCTGGTCGGTCTCGCTGCTAGAGTCTTGCCTCTCAGCGGTCTGGCTACTTTTGCATCACAGCCGCGAGCGACACATGGCGCATACGACGCCGACGCTCGCGACTCGTGCTCTGCCCCAGCCATCATCTTCATTGATCGATTGGCGCGTTGTTGTCGGTGGAGGAGGAGACCAACTCGACAAAATGGCTTCTTTGCGCAGATGGACGGGCCCTTTGCACGCCCTCTACGTCGTTCTTCTGCTCTTGGAACACATATCTAACTTCGGCGCGATCCAACAGTCCAACAAACCTGTATTCCTCAGGCTCTCCTCGGTGGAGATATCATCTGCCAGGCCAAGTCTGGTCTCGGAAAGACAGCCGTCTTCGTTCTGACGACCCTGCAACAAGTTGAGCCTGTTCAGGGCGAGGTCTCCGTGTTGGTTATGTGCCACACTCGTGAGCTCGCCTTCCAGATTCGCAACGAGTACAACCGTTTCAGCAAGTACATGCCCGATATCAAGACTGGCGTCTTCTATGGTGGTACCCCCATCCAGAAGGATGTCGAGACGATCAAGAACAAGGAGACCTGCCCCCACGTCATTGTGGGCACCCCTGGCCGACTTAACGCGTTGGTCCGCGACAAGGTTCTCCGCCTCGGCAGCGTCCGCATTTTCGTCCTCGACGAGTGCGACAAGATGCTCGACCAGATCGGTGAGTTACGGCCTCACATCCGCCGCCGACCAGTCTCTAACAGAAACCAGACATGCGCCGTGACGTCCAGGAGATCTTCCGCGCTACCCCCACCCAGAAGCAGGTCATGATGTTCTCGGCCACCTTGTCCGATGAGATCAAGCCCATTTGCCGAAAGTTCATGCAGAACCCTACCGAGCACTACGTCGACGAAGACACCAAGCTCACCCTGCACGGTCTTCAGCAATACTACATCAAGCTCGAGGAGCGTGAGAAGAACCGCAAGCTCAACGAGCTTCTGGATGACCTTCAGTTCAACCAGGTCATCATCTTCGTCAAGAGCACGCTGCGTGCGACCGAGCTGGACAAGTTGCTGAGAGAGTGCAACTTCCCCTCCATCGCCGTCCACTCCGGCGTCAGCCAGGAGGAGCGTATCCGCCGCTACAAGGAGTTCAAGGAGTTTAACAAGCGTATCTGTGTTGCTACCGACGTCTTCGGCAGAGGTATCGATATCGAGCGTATCAACTTGGCCATCAACTACGATCTGCCCGCCGATGCCGACTCGTACCTGCACAGAGTCGGTCGTGCCGGTCGTTTCGGTACCAAAGGTCTTGCCATCTCCTTTGTGAGCACTGACCAGGACCAGGAGGTTCTCAAGGCTATTGAGAAGCGCTTCGAGGTTGCCCTTCCGTAAGTTTTCTCTCAAGCCTATGCTTTTCTTGTCACGTATCTAACACTTTTTTCAGTGAGTTCCCCAATGAGGGCATCGATGCCAGCACCTACATGGCCTCTTAGGCGTGCCATGCCACGGTTTTGGCAGGGCTTTCTGCCGGTGTATTTTCTTGGTTCTGGTTTCGGGAAATTGCAAAATTTGGACGTGGGTGACGCACACGTAAAGCGGTCACGCAAAAGGGAAAAGATGAAGCTGCTTTGAAAGTGCAAATGAGAAAAAGTCTATCAAGCCTCTCGCGGAGAGGTCTCTTGCTGTTTGTACAGAGTAGTTATCAACATGGAATCAAGACTGGATCACCACGCTCATTGTAATCCATTGCTCGCATGATGTGTCCCCACGACAGGTTCGGTCCGTGGGATATTATGGCTAGATCATGCTGTCACTCTGAGCGGTACTCAGCTTTCCTGGCCTGGCTACAACTGTTTTCTCCCATTGTCTTGAACAAGAGCCCATTTGGAAAATATGAAATGCTCCTCGAGGTTCCTGCTTTCTGCAATGCCACTACTTTGAGCAGACCTGCAAGTTCGGGGCCCCACGATGTTGACGATCCCTTTTCTAGCGCGCATGTTTTTGTTCCCAGCCCTCGGGGGGTCAATGTATGTCCCCCTGGTCTGACATTCTCCGCCTGACTTGTAGTAGCCTCCACGGCCACCTTTCCTGGACCGCTTGATGGAACCTCGTGGTCAAAATCTTGCATGTACCTAGGTTCTGTATTTGCCTGCTCGTATTGGCGTCAAAAATTGAAGGGGGACGGCCGCGTGTAGATGCGTGAGCTTATCACGTCGTTTCGCGGCATGGGCGCGGTATCTCGCAGTGTGACTGTGGAGGTCAACCAGCTAAAGGGCCTTTGTCAACTACATTGAATCGTGTCGCCGTCTATCGCAGGTTCTGTTTGGATGACTCCTATCGCGGAACGGGGCAACGGTCCCTCATTCGATTAGAAGCAGGGTCATCACACATGCCTTGAAAGATTTTCCAGGCTCACGATCTAGTATCCCACCTTTGCTACATTGGGGTTTTATCTACAAGTAGGCGGTCCATCCTAACGAGGAGTGGCAAGCGGTACGCAAGGCAGAGAGATCTTGAGCTTGAAATTCTCTCTCCTTCCATATTCAAAGGCCTCCCATCGTTTCATCAATGACTCTGCAAGATCCATAGCACGATGACAATCTAGTCCTTGATCTACTTCGATAGTAAAAGCGCAGCGGACGCTTTGCTGATGGGGCAGGGGATGATGTATAGGTCAGGGCATCACAAACTCGTCCACTTATCAAGTGAATAGCTACTAGTAGGGCCTCTGGTCATTATGGAGATTTATACTGAGCGATTACTGGTAGAGGCGTAGCCGTCTTCTTATGGCGGCCCGCCCGCCTACTACTACTTTATTAATAGCTATATAGGGTTACGTATTTTAGCCGACTTTTTAACCTTTTAAATAACTATTATACTATAACCACTATTTTCGACTCGACCTTTAATAGCTATTATATAGTAGACTTTTAATTATTTCTATTTACTTCCATCCGCTATAAATATCTTCTTCCCGTTAGTTACGGTTCTTACTATAGTATTATTTACTATTAATAATGTTTAACCTTAACTTCTATCACTTAACTATGCGTCATATATTTATTCGTTAGATATATAAGGCCTTTAAAGAGCGGGTATCGTTCTCGGTAGTTTAATATTTAATTATTTTAAAGCGGACAACCGGCTTTACCCTTTTAATATAATATAATATATAACCGGAGACGTCGATACCGTCTATTTCTAGTACGGTAAGGGTAAATAATAGGACGATTTTTTTCTTTAAGGGGCGTAATGAGGGGAAGTATGGTACCAAGGGCTCGCACTTGACGATATAGTAGAGGCCTAGGTTAATAATATATATACCTAAGCGACGGTAGGCGAGGTCTGGGGTGTAGAACCTAGTAGTCGTGGGTAGTTCTATCGGGTTGGGCGGGGTGATTCGAGCTATCGCGGTTGAGAAGTCGGCTTGCTTGGAAGTAGAGGTGTTGTGGATGTGAGAGGATGTTGAAGAAGAAGAGATCTGCCCGCGGTTCGATAGCTCGATGAATCTCTTATGCCCGCCTCGAAGGCATCAAGGTACTTTAAGTTCGGCGGGCCAGAAGGTTCAAAAGATACGGCGGTGCAACCTTGGGCGGCTCCGACCTTGACGGCATCACCGGCTGTCTTCCCGCCCGGTCGTTGCGCCATACAAAACTCAAGATGTGGCTGGTGATGCGGCTGGACGGCCTAGAGGGGTGCCTTTTGTAGTAAAAGCTCTGCGCGGGTTAAAGGGTCCTATTACTGGATTAAACTATAGAGATACGTATATATTAGTATATACTATTAAAGTGTAATTAGGTATAGAGATATTTGCAAAGGGTGAGCTTTTTTAAGCAATTATGTGCCTAGAATGATTAAAAGAACTAATAGCTACCAGTAGGACGTCGAGAAGGCCGTCCACGGCACCCAGGTACATCGCAATATTGCCCTTGATGACGCGACCGTTTTGGATCATCGGGCTAAACGGGCTGTCGATGTAAGGGCACAGAAGTCCCCGGGGCGATGAAATTGTCGCCAACGTCAATCCACTTCGCTTTTCCAGGGGGGGTTTGTGGCATGACGGCGTTCAGCGAGAGGGGGTAGATGCCACCGCCGCTGGGCTACTCGCCGCCAAGTAGTGCTCCTTCTCGTGTATTACTGAGGTAATAGGCAACTAGCGACTACTACTATTATGAACTTCCCTGCTGTTTTTGTCTTGAGTTGATGATCATGTGGAATTCCAAAACCTCTCGTTTCTCCATCTTCCCAGCGATACCTCTCACACCATCCGAGATTTCTGTCATCTACACCCGCAGTGGAAACGAAGCTGGGTAAAGGGTACACTACCTAGATATAGTTGCAATTCAGGGCTCAAAGATCAGATTATGGGTTGATGTTTCGTCTATTACGCAGTTCGATGGAGGCATTTACTTTGCCTATTGGCCGGTCCGCGTCCGTGATTGAGAGGCAATGTTCTGAAGTCGCAAGTCCAATGAAAGCTGAGAAAGCTGGGAGCTTCTGAAATGACTTCCTCCATACGGTGTGTTCTATCGAGGAAATTTTATCGAAGAGCATTTCTTATGGCAAGAATGGCTTGAGATCAAAGGCAACGCGGTTCAATATGTCTCAAGGTCGTTGGATTGATTGCTCCTACGCGCTACGATTCGGCGACCTTCTCATAGCATAGACGTCTGTACTGGAGTAGACTTTTCGCAAACAGCTTCGAGAGGAGGTGTCCTATCTTAGAACCGGCTTGTCTTGATCGTCTTCCAACGTCCGTCGCTACCCTGTGTTACGTCACCTGTACGAGAGCAGAGAGGGTCCATTATCATTCTGTACCATGCCCAGAGTCCGCCGGTTGGTTCCCGCGATCAGCTTCATAGGTCTGCCGTTCAACACCCGCTGGCTCTCCAACACGTCTTGAACATGAATTTGGACAAGCTTGCCCTGCCCGTCACTCAAATGCCACTACGCCGCCATCTACGAGAGCACGCGGGACGTCATGAAGGGGATGGTACACAGTCTCACTCTACGCCTTCTGGTCTTTTCTCGAACCCGCCGTAGGAGCATACGTCAAGCACGTGTCCCACCGGCGGAATCAGAGTCAATCAACAAAGTCATTCCTGTGGAGTTTCGAGCGCTATCCGGTGCTGTGACCTGGAGTCGCGAGAAGTATATTTCAGGGCTCTCTTGTCGTAAGCTTCCACTATCCAAGAAGCCATAAGGTGTGCCCAAACTTCCTTCATCTCCAGTCGTGCTAATAAAACGTGATGGTCGCCGCCCCTCGGATGTGGTAGAACGTTGATTCACACACTTGGAACATAGATCACTAGGTCCATCCACGAGTACTCTTCCTCTTGGCTATACCGTATTCTACACGGAATAAGTGACTAGCAAAAAATAGCACGCAACGAAGAATAACGGAAGACGCCGAGGATCCTAGTAGAAACAAACTATCATCACGAACTTCTCATACACAATCATCAACACCATATTCTGTGCCGCCGGAGCAGGATATCGCCCAAATTCAAAAGCAGCCAAATCTCTACAAAGACAGCGGATAGACTACGAGGACTTCCAAGCACCCTACTCCCGAAGCATTACACAGTCACATGCACGAATTGCTCGCACGACACAACCTTTTAGACGGATTTATGATGATTATGGCGCAAGGAAAGGAGAAGATGAGCAATGGAATTGAGCATGGAGATTGGGCATTGATATTACTTAGATTTTCTCCAACCGCAATGCGACGAGGACGCCGCATTTTTCGACGCCCGGGAGGCTGCCACACTGTGGCGGTACACATACATAGGGGTCCCGTTGCCTCCCCCTCTCTTATTAAGTATACCGTCGATTCCAAGCCTCCTTCCTCGAAGTTACGCACCGATCAGCGTCGATACCCTACCGTTGGGCTGGGAGGGACTCAAGCCGTACGCGTTCCCAGTGATAAGGGTTTTTGGGACAGCATCACTCTCAAAAATCCGGTTCTATCTGGTAGCAACATATTTACTTTGCAACATGGTCCGCCTCGAGGCTGTGAGAGACTGAAAACTCACTCCATACCCAGGCCCTTCTGGACCCCATCACTCGAAAGTTCAGCAGGATAAGTCTTGCCTTGATACCTGCGGCTCTGCTACGAAAGGCTTCAGACCTCACCTCGACATGAAGAGCCCAGCCTCACAAATGTCCCAAGCAAACGGCCTCACCAAAGCAGTCTTCCCCGTCCGTAGCAGAAATAAACACATCAAACTCTGCCTGAATACCCTGAACAGCATCGTCCTTGTATCATCTCACACCTCTCATCATACCAGCCTAAATCAACCCTCAAATCTGCACGCCCCCGAGAAGAGAAAGCTTACATCAAGAGTCATCACCGTAGGTACCCTATCTCATGACACGAGAAAACAAAACCCCAGAAAGAAAAATTTCATTCACACATGACTTGTACAGAAATGGACACAAATCCCTTTGTCCCTCCACACCACTCTTCCTCTTCCTTGCCGATTCCAAGCGAGGCCAACCCCCCCCCCCCCCCCCCCCAAGCAACTACCTCACTCGCCGAAAAGGCCAGGCCAGGCAGGAATTCCCCAGAGGCCTCAATGACGATGATTCACGAGCTTATCCTTCTCCCATACTTCCCTGCTCTTCGAAGAAAGGTGGCTAGCCTCAGACCTGAATCAGCCTCGTTGCCTACCTGCCTACATGCCTACGCATTTACGTAGCCAGCCATCGCAAAGGATATTAAAAACCCCTCCAAACTTAGACACACATCACGAGATCACATACGGCGCATCAAAAGCAACAAAGCAAAGAACCTAGATACCATACGCTGGTCCATCCCAGTCCCCCATCCTCAAATTCCTCGAAGACAGCCTTGGCCAAATGTCAAAATCAGCCTACATACTAAACAAAGCCTCGCAGCCTGACACCCTCCAGAGCGGCTGAAAGACATACTGCCCAGTCTGCGAGACAAGCCTGCCGAACATACGCAACAACGTACAAGGCTTGGCCAACACAGCGCCGCATACCCGGATAGACGAAAAGCATATTTCACATTCAACTTGCTTAGCATATAGCTGCAACCTTGGCATGCTGTCATGCCGTGATGGGCAGCGTCATCCAGCCTAGCTTCGCTCCGCAATGAAATGCAATGTAATGTAATGTAACGGAACAGCTTTTGTAAATCTCATCAATAATTGCAATATCCCCCCCTCCCCCCAAATCTGCCTGCCCAACCCGCCAGGCGCATGCGCTTCTCTCATAAACCTTACGTTTCTCATGTTCGTCGCAGCGACAAAAAAAAACACAGCCACAAAAGGAGGCTGAATCAAGCGCTGGCAGCCGACATACTCTAGATGTCGACGTTTTTTTTTTCCTGCTGCTGCCGAATGCTGGCTGGCTGAGTTGCTTCCCTGCTGCGCCTGCGCCTACGTACGCGCGCCTACATTGACTGGGGAGGAGCCGCGTCCGCCGTGCCTCGGTAAACCGGGCAGCTCTCAAAATCTGGGTCGCCTTACGAAATAACGATAGACTATCGCGGACTCCGTACGAATCGATGCTAAAAAAGAGTGTACTCCGTACCGATTACTCTAAATTACGACAAAAAAAGGGGACTCTGGGAGAGCCGGGAGCCTTCGTCACTGGAGAGAAAAGCACTTCTGGTCGCGAGTCGTGCGCTGAAACCCAAGATCTGGGGCAAAAGCATATCCGGCGGGGAGGGTGGGAGTGAGGGAGAGCCAAGACTCGCAAAGGGCCGCAGGGCCGCAGCGAACTCCAGCAAGCTGTCACGCGGGAGCCGGATAGGTGGGCGGTGGAGAAAAAGAGTTGTTCGGATTGCGCAAAGCGGGAACCATTGCAGCTTAATCGACGAGTTTCGACAAAAGAGTTCGGGACAGCTTGGCAGTTGGCAACTCTTGTCTCCGATCCATTCGGGCTCGCTTTCAACGGAAGAGGTCGGGTTGAGAACTTGAAAGAGGGCATCGTAGGTTCACCGTTCTCCGTCCAGGTCCAGTAACAGGACCTCTCCGGACCTGTCTCCCCACCCACCGCAGTGGCCATATTTGCGGTGATAAGGACAGCACATCGTAAGAGTCATTCTCCGTGGACCATGACGGCGAAGATAGGTTCGCTTCCATGTTTGACACGTCGGCGAACCGGTGACTAAATCGCCCACGCTGTCTGTCCCCCCTATCGCCGACACCGGTCCATTTCCTCCTCTTGCAGAATCCACAGCGTTCTTGCTACCTGAGGCCGCTGGAGCGATTGCGTGCACGCGTTGCTACCTGGCGGGTTCCGACAAGGGCCGTGGCGTTGGTGTTGTGAAGTTTACACGATGCTCCGCGTCGCTATGCTGGTCCAGCCCTGTCCCCAAAGTTCCCAGGTAGTCATTTGGCCGAGGCTGGGGGGACGCACTTGCGTCCTCGCATTTTGTAAAACCCATATGGTTCAAGGAATTTCTCGCTTCATGACGTCTAGACTAGGGACCAAAACTGTCTGTCAGCCGCCGGTGCCCGGGGGGGGGGGGGTCAGATCTGAGATGAGATTCACGCAGTAAGCCCATGCAAGGCTATTGCTCAGCTGCCTGCGCGTGAAGAATTGCACAATGGATGAGGGATGGCTGGGCTGCCTGTTTGACGATGACCTGTTGAGAGGTTTCCATAGGCTGCCGTGCCGAGCCAAAAAGCCAATCAGTATCCATACAGCGTAGGGCCCCTCCTACGGTTACTGTTCCCTTGGTGATTTGCCTTGTGGTGCCGGTGAAGCTGGGGTCGCAGACGGGGGTTGTTGTTGGTGGATGACATCCAATCCATGCTGCTGCCTGGTTCAGAATTTGAGAGGAGGGGGCCCCCAAGGGCTTGGTGATCCCTCGCCCGTAGGAAGTGGGTGAGAGCGGTCACCAGGAATAGACAGAGAGATTCATTGATGAGGCAGGGTGGCAAGGTGATTCGCCCGTCAGCTCTTCTCTGGGTCCGTTTCCCATGCGAGCATGTCTCATCAAACGGTGCCCGACTAAGAGCATCTAAGGCTGTGGAACTGGACGCCTCGGCCTTGGATATTCGGATTGGCCTCCGGAACCCCATCGTTGACGCCAGCTTCTCTCCATAATAATGCCTTTTGGATGACGACCAAAGTAGTCGGACTTTGGGACGTGGCTGGAATGGCCCCCAGATCGTTAGTAACGCCGCCTGCCGAGCTGAAGGGTCACGCGAGGCGCCGCTGTCGCGTCTCTCCAACATCTCAGCTCGCGGGTAGCCGTGAAACCAGGCTCAAGTTCCCACAGGCTGCGCCGCCAGCGCCAAGCTGTCTTAGTGATGGCCTCGCAGAATCGAGGATCGAGAGGGGCGAGACGCTAGCAGGCAATCTGACTGCTCATGATAGTTCACATCTTGCTTACAGGAAACAAGAGACAAAATGTCCCAATCACCGACACTTCCGGGGCAGCGGACGGCTCCCCACCATCCATACCTTGGCGAGGAAATGCGCTTGGGTTGCGGCTTACTTGCTTGCCTCATCTCGAACCGACAGAACAGTGCTGCGCGCCGTGCACAAGCAGGCCGTTCAGACGACTTTGCCAGTTCACACAGTATTAGCCAGGCGGAGAGGCAAAATGAGGGGTTCCGTCCGTCACCAACAGCATGTCCAACGTCAATATTGGCCAAACTTCACCCGCTAGCTGACTTGAGTGACGGCAAATCGCCGGCGACGAAGCGTGACTGAAGCCTAGTGGTGCAACCGCCTCCCCGCAGTTGATGACTATGAGTAAATGGCGTCGACGAATGACAATTTCTCGATTTGACAAGCGCTGTTCCGTGGGATCACGGTGACGGAATAACAGCAGACGTCTCTCCACAAGTCGAAACCTCCGCATCACGAGTTCGCGTTGAGTTTCTCACAAACATGCCGTTCAATATCACCATCGAGTGATGTCTAGATCTCCCCATTCACTAACACGCGGGATATTCCGGGTGGCATATTCAATATCTCCAGACTGCAGAGGGCACGAGGAGATCACGGAAGGGTCTTCTCGCTATCGCCGATGTCCGTAAGCGAGCCAAATTGGGGGATATTTGTGTCGTTGGGCCTTAGTCATGCTGAAAAAGAGCGAGATTGTCGCTCGGATGAGCTCTCGGGCGGTGCTGAAACCCAACGCAATTCCCGTCAGGGGGGGGGGATCATCACCCCATCGTGCCCATGTGGTGTGCCAGTCGAGCTAGAAAGCCGCGATCTTCTCGAAGCCTTCCGCTTTAGACCGCTCGAGGCCCTTAGTTGGTCTGGACCAACCGATTCTTTCCATCAGGCAACCAAATTTTGTCTCGGTGACTCCTTTGGTGTGTCGCACTCTGTGTCTGTGTATAAGCCAGCATGGTGTGTTGTTTGAGATTGAATGCGCACCATCAGAAAAAGTTTTCAATGATCCGGTGCAATATTGATGCGAGCTTTACCGAAAGCTAGAACGGCGCGAGCTGATATAGAGTCATACGAGTATTCGGTTGCGCGCCACGATGTTCGAAGCTCACCGTTTGCTTGAGTCGTGTGCATCAGCCGCGCGGCAAACCACGGCAGCGGCATCCTGCAACTTCCCGCGATCATCTTTCCTCAATAGTAGTATTGTGTTCCCGTTGAAACATCGTGAACATGACACAGTCATAGCATGGGCCTTGCGAAAACCCCTTATCCCGTGGGCAGAATCGAGCGAATCCGAGAATCCACGGACATGCGTAAACGAAGCCTCGCTTTCCATGCCACGGCGCCGTGGAGACGCAAGTCTTCTAGCCGCCACCTGGAAACAAAATCCTTTGGTTCGCGAGCTGTGCCACATAAGTGAGCGCCGCCCTGCTTCTGAGATGTTTGTCTTTGTCGGGAGGAGGCCTGAGACGTATTGAGAGCATGAGAGCCTGGCCAGCTAGAGTTGACTCATCGAGGTAACTGTATGGCCACGTATCGGCGCTCATTGGTCTAAGGAGATCCCGTATTACCGGAGGAGGCCAAGGATGTTAAAGCCCACTTGCAACGAACTGGACAACGACAGCCTAACAGGTGTAACAATTTGCAAGGTGCGCGCAGGTCTATGGCTGGATGGAGGACGTCCACGGTCCACATTCCACTGCAAGACAGCGAACGTGTTGCAAGGAATCCGATCATGTGTACGGATATCGTAGAATTCCGTCCTGGCTTGAAGAAAAGCTCCACGCTGTGGTTCTGCTCTCGGAGTAAGCTCCTCGGGCGAATGAGAATTCGGACAGACAACGGTGAGAATTTGTCCAATGAGTGCCAGCTGTTTGTTCTTGGCCCCTCTTTATCTTCCCTTCATCGACGCTGCCCTGCCGCCGAACGACAATCTGAGTTCGTTGGCCTGCATCCAAGACGGCAATGCTGGACAGGTTGAGAACAGCCCTCCAATGATGGCCTGCCGCGGGGCGGAGCGGGGCTGGCTGCGACGGAGGTGTGTGACATGGCAACACCAGTGAAGCTGCAGAAAGCCTGCAGCTTGCAGCTAGACCGAGTGATGCCTGCGAACTGCACAAGGGGGCGGTGGCCAGATGACGGCATTTGGAGGGAAGCAGGCTCGAATCTTCACGTCCCCCCTCCTCCTCTTCTCGCGGGGCCAAACTTGATGCCATTCCCAGCCCCCAACTTCTAGAAGACTCATAGCCATGAATACGTTCGTGGGGAGAAGTTGCGAGACGTTGGGGGTTACTGTTGTCAACCCTGGGCATATTCTGTACTATGCAGCATGCTTGAAGCGTGACAGGGTGCCCTTTTGGCCCTGAGAAAATGCTGGGCAATGATGCCAAAGTTTGCAGGTTCGGTACGAATCGGAACAAATCTCGTGGTCGCCGGGGTCTAAACTGGCGGTCGGTCTCCCGCGCGCCCAGTCGTCTCCAGTTTTGACCAGTACCGAAGCACGAGTGTTGTCCGGCGGGCGAGATGAGCCGATACGTGCAGTCATGTATTCAAGGCGACAAGGCCAAGACCACCAGGCGAATGAAAACCACCAGCCGCCCAGGACATCTGACACTGATTGGCTGTTTGTCTTTCCCACAGAGTTATTCGTAGTGTACGGAGTACTTCGTGGCAAACAGAATGCTCCCTGTGCTTCCTGTGCTCCCTCGTCCCTGTCCCCTTCGATACTGACACTTTGCTCCATTGCGTCGTTGTTATCTGGCACCTGTTACATCCAGCAAAGTATAGAGCACCCATGCGCTGCTTGGGTGACTTGTGCACATTGTGCACCGTCCTCGAAATGAAGATATGCAGCGTGTGGGGGTTAGCTCGAAGGTACTGCTTTAGGTCGTTCCAACATGATTGACATCGCAAAAGTGTATCAGAGTTCTCGCCTGTGATGTTTCGACGTGTCTATTTGAAGGTCAAGCATGTGTAATTTGTTTAAAGACCGGGCAAGAGCAATGCATCGCAAACATCTCATCTTATGGCATTCCCTGTGGAAAAGGATTGCTTTGAAGCGTGGAAGGCCTGGCTCTTTTTCGGTACTCCGTAGACAGCGGCGTCTTTCAGAGAGGATGCGACGTGCAGGCAAGACGCGTAGACGGGATCCTCGGGTCGTGGGAAGAGGGACAAGACAAACCAGCCATATCGAGATGGAGGATCATCGAAGAGGGAGGCTTGGTCTGTGGAGCCATGATAGGTAGACGATACGTAAAATGAGATGGACGCTGGTGACAGTGTGGCTGAATCCACCGGATGCGATCTATTCCATTGTCCCCGAGACGTCCGTGTTTTGCGAGAGTCCAAGACCAAGTTGGTGCGTCCGTATCACTGTAGCTTATTAGACGGGCTGACAAAGACGTAGGGCGGCTGAGAAATCGCTCCTGAGGTCAAGGAAGCGCCGGAGACGCGCAACTGGCATGCCTCCGTAAGCGTCTCTCTTTTGAACTTTGCAATCCATTATCCAGCAACAAAGCTCAGAACTTGAAGCGGAGTTCGTGGCGGAATTCGAGGGGGCGCACTTCGGTATCTCGGGGCTCGAGGATCCACTGAGTCTGACTCTGACGGAAGCCCGCCTTCGCCAGACAGGCAGGTATCAAGGTGCAGCGCGGTATCCGTACTCTGGCTGGAGGATGAACCCTTTCTCGGCGACGGTTTGTCATTCTTCAGGCTTGCAAAGACCACTGAGCCACTGGGCTTCGAGCAGTGACTGAGTGCGTATGAGGTCACTGGCCAGGGCGGGTTCAGAGGTCCGCAGGACGACCCGTACAGAGGTCCATCGTTCCTGTACGGATACCTGATGGAGACTCGGGTGTCGACGACCTCGGTAGGAAGTGCCATCGGCTCTCGAGCAATAGTCCGATAGCGAAATTGGGGTGATATCATCGTTGGACGCGTTGACGGCATTTCGGTGGTAGAGTGCTCGCGATGCCAGGCCCCCGATGCCCTTTGGAAGTCGCTTTGACGTTGTAAGCCGAGCAGCAGTATTCGTACACTGAGTATTGCCCCCGTCAGTGGTCAGGTCACTGTCTAGAGAGATGAACATGGCCGTGTAAACTCGACTCGGCAGCCCATCGAGATCCGCCAACAGCGGTGATTGGAGCTGACGGTTTTGTGTGGTGCGTGCGCGTGTCGGTATCTCTCGCAGGCGGTTTCTGGCTGTGGCTAAGGTAATCAGGAGCGTCGTGGTTGGCTGGCTTGCTTGCCCCGATTCCCCGAGCTCTCAAAGGGTGTGTAGTGTGGCATGATGAGACAGGATGGCACGCAATCCCTCTAGGTATTCCTTTGGACCAAAGCTTGACCATCCAGTGGCGAGACTTTGGGCGAGACAACAGCTGTTGTCAGTCGATTCTTTGAAGATTGTCGCATGCGCTGGGGGAACGGGTGGGATCGCTTGCAGTTGGCCGGATGAAATCGAAAACATCGAATGCCAATATTTCGTGAAAGCCAGACTCGTGATACCCTCATGAGCACAAGCCGTGGCGTGTTCATGCTTACACGAAAGACACGGCGTGCTTCATCTCAAGGCTATAAGGGTTGTCTCGAGGGTATGTGTCTCTTTCATCCTGCAAATCTGGGTTTGTTGCCTGGCTGTAACTGCAATATCCAAATACAGGTGGCGCTATAGCTGGACGAGGTGTGGATGGACGGAAGAGAAGGCATGGATAGGTCGTTGAGAGAGGGCGTCAATGTCTGCAAAATTTCGAAGTCTACACTACGGCACAGGAGGAGGATCGATTGCGATGGCGTGGCGGAGGGGGGCGTGAGCCTTGATGGTCAACTATGACTCTTTTTTTTCTTCTCCCCCTCCTCCCCTCCTCCCCTCCGTGCCTCCTTCCCTACGAACCTGGACGAACCTGCCTTGCCCCGGGGGGCTCTTTCTCTCTCTCTCTTGCAAGGTGCAACTGCTCCTGCCTTGCCGGCTTGGGGCTGGGCAGCAGCAGCCATTCAGCGGTGCAGCTTGCCAGAAACCACAAAGGCTGGGCCACTGCAGAGGGTGTGTTGCTGCCGCACACGAGTGGTTGAGCAGCCATTTTAGGCTTGGCGGGGCTAACCTCAAACGACATGGCGTGGAACAAGTTGGACCAATCAAGAAGAAGGTTACGACGTGAGCAGCCACTTGGCGACGGAAGATGCCAGAGCCAAAATAGTCGTGCAGAAGATTTGATGCAGGCCGTGAGGGGGGAGAGAGAACTTGAGAAGAGCTCCAAGCTCCAAGCTCAGGCACCGGAGCAGAAAGCCAGACAGACCCCAAGGTTGCTAGGCATCAAGGGGTGGGATGAATGCATGGAACGAAATGGAAATGGATACCTTACTTTACACAGTCCACCACAAGGCCACAGTGTTGCGTTTGGTTTGGTTGGTGGCGATGGAAAGTTCGGGCATCATCTCGGGCGTTTGGGCCGGGTGGGAACAGAAGCAGAGATACCTAAACGACCATCGGGGACGGGAGGACAAGCAATGAAGCAGGTAGGGACGCAGTTGATGATTGAGCAGTTTGGGGCCTTGGGCAGAGAACAAGCAGACAGCAGACAACGAACTGAGAGGACACTCAGGATAGCAACACTGGAACAGAACACATGAGAGGTGGGTAAAGTGGAGTTTGGGGGGATATGCAACTGTCAATATGTGAGAGAGTGTGAGTAAGAGGCAAGGGGATTTGGGGGCATTTGATATGTGTGTGAGGTGTGTATGAGCAGCTGGATGAGTATGAGTAATGACAGGAAAGATGAGTGAGGAGCAGCGAGGGAAGACACACTCGACTCCAAACGAGAAAGAGAGGTGGATGAGAGTGTGAGTCTGAGAGCCATGAAAAAGAGTGGAGACAGTGGCTATTTTTTTTTTTGGTTTTCAATATGCCCCTCCACCCCGGGAAGGAGGACAAGATGGCCCACTCTGTATCACGGCATCAGCCAATGAAAGGACAGATGAAGAAAAGACAGTGGACGGATGCTGAGACTCGCTGGGTGTTCCGGGCCTCGGCTGCATCCTTTCCATCTCCCCTCTCTTTTTCTTTCCCTGGCAGTGCCTGGGAAACCGAGTGAGGTGAGGTGCGAGGTGGTAGTGGCCAGCAAGAGGTCGGTGCAAGGCACTTGCAAGTGGCAGGCTGGCAGCAAGTCTAAGGTATCCCTCTGCTCTTTCCCACCCACCCTTCCACGCCTTCCAGTTCTTCGAATCAAAGGGTGCACAAAGTCCCAGGTCCCAGTTCCCAGTGGCCCACACCAGTTTCCCATACCAGAACCCAGTGTCCGGTACCTGTCTCCATGTACCTTTCCCCGTCCCATCCAATGTACCTTTTCCCCTTCTAGTTCTTGCTCTTGCCTGTATCCGTACTCCGTACTTCGTGCCGTCGCGACGACAGCGGGCAGGGTCAGAGGAAAGAGAGAGAGTGGGAGAGACTGCCCGTGGAGTCTGGGACTCTGGGTGTGTGAGTGGCAGAGTGCTGCCCCCCAGGCATTCAAAACTATCGCCGCGCCCACATCGCCGTGCACCTGTGTCCTCCCCCCCTTCCCTTTCCTTTTGATCCATCGAACAATCGCCATCGCCATGTTCGATTCCAAGGTCTAAATCTGTACGACAGCGACTCTCCGAAGTCTGCTAGACGTGCCTCATCTCGGGACTCCCTGAGAAGAGACTCTAGACCAACTCTCCGCTTATTCCTTTGTAAACTTGCTTTCAAGGTCGTATAGCAACACGTCTGCTACGCCTCTCACTCTCTCCTCTCACTCCGACCCAGCAGATCAGTCACTCACCGTGTCCTAATCTACCGGATCCCTCACCCCCTCACCCCCTCGCCTCCAAGAGTCATCTCGGCCACCCTCGGTCACGTTACTCATCGAGCATCATCGCAACACATCATCATCATCCTCAACACCACACGACAACCGCCTAACCCTCGCCATCCCTAGGCTCCCTTGTTTGCAACCGCAGCGGCATTCACTTGTTCCTTGCGGCTAACAAAGGCATCAACCTACGGATACTTTCCATTTTCAGCGCAAGCTCCACCACCAGCAACCACCATCACGAAGCAGCCCAGGCACGCAGGCTTTCAATCCCTCTTACGCTGGGATATTTTGAGATCGGGTTACGGCTTCAATAGAGTCATACGCCTTTCTCATCGTCACCCAACGGACCCTCTGCTGCCTACCTGCCTACCAGCGTTTTCACGCAAGCTCCTTGTCTATCACAGTTACTCATTTTCCTGCCTTTCACAAAAAAAAAAAGAGATCTCTCCGATACCCTGCAACTATCTCATTCGGCTCTTACACCTTATACTCATTCCTTTTTAATCACTTGCCCCGGCAATATCCACGACAATAGCTCACACGACGATTACGACTCATCTTTCAACCTGGCGTCTCATCAGCTGACCCAGCATCTCCTTCGCCACACTCCTCTGTAGTCGCCAAGAAACATCTCCATCCGAGGGACTCAAAGCATTGCCTGCAAGGTTAGTACCAAGCCCAGTTTGATTTCCTGCACAGTATTCCCTCCCCCAGCCAGCACGAACACGTCAAGCGCCGCAAAAGTGGATGAGAGGCAGACAGCGTGAGTGAGTGAGAGAGAGAGAGAGTCTCGAAGAGAATCAGAGACACAACGCGACCAGACTAGCAAAACCCAGCTCTGCACCAGCAACCTGGCTACCTATCCGGCCTGCCTGTCACTCTTTTCCCCTTTGGCCTCTCCTGGTTCTCGAGAGAGCGATCACGCACTCAACCGGACCACTCTTACCCACCCCCTGTCCACCCCCGGGGTCTCCTTCTCGGCCTTCCCTAGGCTGCCACTGCCACTGCCACCTTTTGCACGTCTCTCACTCTCTTTCCTTCCCGCGCACACGCACTCACACGCACTTTCACTTTCCCTTTCTCCCCCCCCCCCCCTCCCCCTCCATATTCACACCTGCCTGTCACTTGGAGCCACCTGCTTGGGCGGCAACCCAACCAGGTTCACCCCCCTTCGCCACCCCAAACCCGAAAGAGTCATCCACACCCAATCTGGGGCCCTCGACCCAGACTTGAGCCACCCAAGGGGTCCTCCGACTTCGTCACGCCAGGCCAAGTCGCCCCTCTGAACACGTTCAAGATACCACGGGCGGCGCAAGGCGAAAAAGAGTCACACCTCATCCCACCTGCTTGGATATAACCTCTCCTCGCAGCCACACTTGGCCCAGTACCTTGCCTCCCCTCACTCTTCCCTTCCGACTCCGACTTCGCCCTCCTCTAATCAACATCATCAACTCTCCTCTCAACCCATACCCACCCTATCACCACTCACCTATTACACATCTAATATTACATACTCGTCGCATCGCATCAATGGTGTTTCTGCAGTAGCTCACCATATAATCAGGACCTTTTAGCCCTCCTATTAGATGCATTAACCCTACGATGCCTCTTCGAATTACAAAATCTACTCCAGTCGCCCGTCTTGTTTCGTCTTCCGGTTTGATCCTTCGTGTAACGTCGGCTGTGGACATTTGCGTCTAGAAGCCGCCTCCCCTATCTACGACTCTCAAAGACTTTACAACAGTAACTACAAGCTGTTGTGAAGTTGCGCGTTTCTGATACGGAATCACGATCTGCTCATACGAACCCTTTACGGTTTACCCGGTTTACTTAGCTTGACGGCGACTGGAGGAATCTCTCCCATATCGAAGACCCCCCAAACGCCAAATACCCTCCACCACTTATATCCAAGATGAAGTACGCCACCGAAGATTCGTCGGCTTTCATCAGCACCTACCAAAACAAAACCTACAGCTCCTCTCTCGAATCCCTGACCTCCACATCGTCCGGCTCGGTTTGGTCTGCTGTATCCTCTCAATCATCCACCTCGACATCTCCCACCAACACCTCCGACTCCGATTCCGCCGACGTATATTGCTTGTCGCGATCCTCGGCCGCGTGCGACACTGCTGTTGGATTTACAAGCCCTTGGGCCAGACAGCCTAGCCAACAAGCCGCTGCTGCCGCCATTCCCCAGGAGCTGCGACAAAACCCTAGACGAACCAGTGGGAGCGCAACCCGCTCTGGAGCACCCCCGACTCTGGTTCGCCAGGCTGAGCGCAAGGTCAACTTCGTCGATAACCTTGTCGGTAAGCAGTATTGAATATGCATGTAGTCGTCCAGTCCTCTAATCCAGTTGTCCTTTTAGATTCATCGACACAGATTGTCGAGGCTATCTGGCCCCTTTCCTCAGTTGTCTGCCGCAATGAACTCGGTAACAAGGCGGTGCTGCCGCTGCGCACCTTCATTCAGGAGACTCTGCGCCGCTCCCGCACCAGCTACTCCACCCTCCAGGTTGCGCTCTATTACCTGATCCTGATTAAGCCCCACGTCCCGAAGCACGATTTCACCATGGAACAGCCCGACGACAAGCAGGAGTGCCGCGCACTTCAGTGCGGCCGCCGCATGTTCCTCGCTGCTCTCATCCTCGCCTCCAAGTACCTTCAAGATCGCAACTACTCCGCCAGAGCTTGGAGTAAGATTTCCGGGCTCAACACGGGGGAAATCAACCAGAACGAGATTGCATTCTTGCTAGCGGTCGACTGGAAGCTGCACATCACCGACGAGGTCTTCCAGCGCTGGACAGAAATCGTCTTGAAGTACACCCCTCCGTCTCCCCCCGCTCCTGGAACTTCCGCCCAATGGTACGCGCAACAGAGCTCGAACTGGAAGATGGTTATCCTCAAACTCAACCCTGAGCTGGACAACATCGAAGGTTTGATTCCCACGGCGCATATCGCTCCCAGCTCTCGCACCTTGTCTCGTCACCGCACCATGCTTCCGGCGGCGCAAGATGTTATGGCTGCGACCGGCGCCTGTGGAATGGGGTACGACTCAACCGAGCTTACCCCTACCCCGAGATCCTACCAAACCCCGAATATTATGGAGCCTTCCCCAGCCACTGTATATACTCCGGGCCGGCTGGCTCCCGCTCTCGGGCTACTTCCCACCCCGCGTCTGACGCCCCAGTCGAGCGGATACAGCACTCCTGCCGTGGGTGCTGCATCCCATCTCGGCAAGGGCAGCGCAATGGGCCTCGCCATGGCCCAGGCTTCTTGCGTCAGCGCAACTCAGTGCCTCGACCGCTGGCCTGTTGCCAACACCTCGTCGCCTCAAGGTTACTTCCCTGTTCGTCGCTCTTCTCTCGCCACTTCAATCTCAACCGCGTCTTCTCCCGAATCGATGGTTTCTGATACGTCGCGCACCTCTCGCTCATCTTCTATCTCATCTGCTTCTTCACTGGTCAACGCGCCGGCCCCTCTGGGTGTCCAGGCGCGATTCCGGTCCGCGAAGCTGTGCAGTGAGAGGTCAAGCCTGAGACCGACTATCACCTCGGTTCCTGAGGACTACGAAGAGACTTGCATCACGTCTTCGCCCGAGTCCTACACCGGCCCGGTTGGCAGACTCTGCGAAATGTCGTTGGATACTCCACTGGCTCAGAGAGAACGCGAATTGGATGAGATGACCCACGACCCCGCGAACGACGCCGCTCGGGCACTCCAGGAGCTTCAGAACTATCGTTCCGACGACTCTACTCCTACTGCCATGTCCTCGCGTAAGCGCGCTCGGGGTGTTTCGATTGTCGACAACTGCCTCCAGGAGAACGTTCGGGACATGCTTTCGAGCAACTACTCGGGCAAGCAATGGACCCAGAATCTGGTTCGCCCAAGAAACAGCCAGATGGGCGCAAATGACCGAGGCTCCCCTCGCAAGCGCGTTTGCTGCGCCAGCGAAGCTGCTCCGGTTTACGAGGCATCAATGCTTCATTCAATCGACGGATACCGCGGACCGGGCATGTGGGAGGGAATTCTCAACTGAGCACATTGTGCAAACCTCCCGAGATACCTACTGGTCAAAAGTTGAACACATCTTGACCTCCTTGTGCAATATCCTCCATTTCCTTTGTCAAAAATGAAACAAATACGGGGCGGCGGGGTACGGAAAGTGCTAATGATACCACCTTGGCGGTTCATCGAGTCCTTAGAACAGCTTAGATGGCGTCAAGGAACGGCACGAAAAGCGTGATAATCTTTGCATGCATCAACGGATCAAGGCATATGGGGGGCGGTGGACGGCGAAGAAGCTATGGCGGCATTTTCGCCGCGTTTTGTGTTTGTACGATCACGCTGAAGAAGAGAGTCGATTTGCGTTTTGAATTTTTTGCGTTTTGTCGGCCTGAGAACCGAGCTATTGCTGGTTCTCGAGCTATCTGCATTCTGGATTGGAGACGAAAGGGTCTTCCGAATCGAATCGCCCGCGATCAGAGTTTGGGAGAGTGTGATTGGGCGCTCGATGGGAGATCCGAAAGGGGCGACCAAAACGAGCCAACAAGAAACACCATTTCATTCGCTGCGCGCGGCATCTGTGATCCGTCGCGATTCATCGGATATGTTTCATCACACACAAAAGGATGCAAACGACACGGCACGTGTTACTACAACTTCATACGAAAGCGATGAAGCTATATTCGAGAGACTCATAGCTAGCTTTTCGACCACGAGACACAAGTTGTTTGCTTTGTCTGGCCTATCAAATCAAGATCTTACCAGATTTGGAACCGAGTTCTCTTCTGTGTACCCTTCGCGCTGGAAACAGCCTTGTTCACAATGTGCTTCGTGAAAGCAGGTACCTATAGTGTACCTTGCGAGTGCTTATTCATTGAACGGAGAACTTCCGATGACCTGCTAATACGGTGACACCAGGTGCCTATTGAGGTTGTCTCTCAGAGACTGAGCTTGAGGTTCTCGAAACGGAGCTGCCAACGGCGTATTGACCGTGACCAAGCGAGAGAAATAGCTAACCTCAAGTCTAGACGGTCTGAGACGGAGCCCGGGACGGAGAAGCCTGATGCAGAGAACACAAAAACCGGTTGATTCCTTTGACAACACTTGACCCATGAAGAAATGACGAGATGTCATTTGGCGGCCGCCGCGGCGGTGGTGCTGCTACAGTGCTACCTAACGCCCGATGGTTCGTCGGCGATAACGCGGGCGCGCGGCGCGCTGGGGGTGTTTGGTCACGGTGAGCGATTGTGAGGGAGTGTGAGTCATACCGCGCGCCGCCCGGCCTATGCTCCGGGCCCTCCCAACGACACCACCACCTCACCACCACCCACCATTGGCGGTTGACGACCACACATCCAACCGTTATTCGGTGGTGGGTTTCCCGCTTGCCGCTTAAGGAAAGTCCATTATGGGCTTTTTGAGCAAGAATACTTTTTTCCTTCTCTTTCTTTGACACAACCCTTGTCACGCGTTGGGCAGGGAAAAATGGGATGGAGGGGCGGCTGGGTAAGGTAGGTAGGTCTATGCTACAGGTTTGTCAATTGAAGACTGGTTTTGCCGTTTTTTATTTACAAGACGCTAATAAGTGGCTAACGCGGTATATTGGTGCTTCTTTTACCTTAGGACTAGTTAGTCTGAGAGGGCCATGTGTGAAACGGTGCCAGGCATCCCGTTTCGGAGGTTTCGGGGAGGGAGGGATGGATGATTCAGCCTGATGTTGAATTTCGTGTATCATGGCCCGCTTACACGGAGGGAAAGAATGGGAGTCACTCGCCGGTTTTCCTTTCCTTTTGGATAACGGCGTGAGTGAACGTAGGTGACTAGTGTCTCCTGCGTAGAGGAGGGATTCACATGACTGAGAGCAAGGGGATGGCATGTCACCGAGCGCTGGCTGGGACACACACCACCCTGGGAAGCGCTTATTGAATTTACGATTGGGGTTTCTTTTTGCCTAGAGAGGAAGCCTTACACGAGGTTTCTCAAGGGACCTTGGTTCCTTTCTTGAGACGGGATGACGAGTGTCTCAAGTTGGATGGTGGGGATGGTTCTTGGTTGTCACGATGAAGTTTGAGGAGCCTGAGTTCCGAGATTTTGGCCACGCTGGATGGCTTGTTTGGGTTGGCTTCGCAGGCAGTCACTGATGTCGTGGACGGCGATGATGGGACTGATGGCGAAGGGGGGAGCCGGTTCGTCACGGTGTTTGACGCGACTGCCTGGCCCCGTTTTACCCGCCTGTTCTCGAATGTGGCGATGATGCAGGCCCATGCTGATTCTCGGAAGAGTTTCCGATGGTTTGTTGGTTCGGTCTGTGTAAGTCTGTTGGAGAGTCATCGAAGTGAAGATGCTTTTTCGGATGCGAAAGAGCGTTCAGAGATTCCACTACACTCAATCTGGGACGCCGGGATGATGTGCTTTCCGGTGGGGGAAACCAGTCATCGGTGTAGATGATGCCTTTGCAGTCGGCGACTTTTGAGTTCCTGATCCGGATATCCCGGCGCGATAACTCTCCCTTCTTTCTTTGGCCGTCTTGCTCACTCGGTCAGCGTGCCCGGAGTGTGCTTCTTGCTTTCTACATACGTTTCTGTTTCTTTGACGGGAGTATACCAAGATTGAAGGAGGGGTAGACAATGACGGCCTACCCGATTCAGCTCGCCGATTTGGGGGGGGGGGGGGGTTATTCAACACCCCGTCTCGGTGAGATGGTTTGGGGTCAAGTTGGACGGGAAGGAGAAGCATGCCAGTGCGTGCCGCGCGGATGCCGGAGGCCGACGGCCTATGTATGCATGTGCATGTATGTGTTCGCCGATATGTCAACCCCCGCAGCCCGGCATCGTGGGGCGGGGGAGATACCGAGAGATCCGGGGGTTTGAAGGGAGTGGGTATTTCGGGATCTTGGGATGTTGTGCAGAGTTGTCTGGAGACGGAAGGTTGATGGCCTGTCGATGTCTTCTCGTGCCCTTTGGAGGGTGAGGTGAGATTGAGCTCGGATTCCGGGTGCTGGATGAGCGGATGGACAGGAGGGGTGATGTGCGAGCTCAGGGTTTCCTGCTGCTGCTTATGCTGTTGATCAATATCAAACCTCGAAGGTGTAGTGAGCTTGGCAAGGTATGTTCAAGTTTTCTCTGCGTCTTTCTCGATGCAAATCATGATGAAGCCCTGGCGAAGAATCAAGGCGTCGTTTCCGGGGTCATCTGAAAGGTATCTATCTATACTTGGAAGTGCTTGAAGTATTGGGCGAGATTAGCTGTATATAGATCTTTGCGTGACGTTCACTCGACTCTATTCTCATGTCTTCATTCTATCAAGTAGAAACTCGTTAGAGATCATTTCCTCTTCAAAATATGTCTCGCATAGAAGCCTCTAGGTTCCTCTAAAGTCCGAGACCCGAAATTCTTCAAGCTGCTTGAAGAGAGTTGATTCCAAGCCCCGGTGTCTGAAGTCTTCTCTCTATGCCTGCCTCGCGGAGGGGTTTCTACCGAAGCTCGGGAATTATCAAATCTCCGCAAAACGCATTGGCTGGAAACGATGAAAGCATGTCGACTAGAAAAGAGGTAGAACATTCCGAACAAAAGAAACTCTGATTCAGAAGGTTGAAGGATCGAGTCACCTGTAGAATGGGAAAAGAAGAAGTCACAGCCCTTGCATCCAAACGAAACCCCAGATTATTAAATGATAATTGCCCAGAAACCCCAGGACGAGACTGCTTTGAGTACCAACAGGTATTATCATAAACCACCTTCCTCGAATCATCCCAAACTCTTTACATATACTACTGGTTTACCACAATGAATAGGAATCGCACAGCACCGTCCACATTCCACAACCCAAAAAAGCAGGTCTCCACAACAACCCCGATCCCGCCTCTGCTTTCGGTAGCCCCCAACAAGGAGACAAACCGAAAAGCCTACACCCAAATCACTCCAAATCCAATTCCAAAAAGGAAGACATCCTCGAAATGGCAAAATATTATGCAGTTCTCCCCTTCCAGAATCGAACTAGAGACCTTTCGATGACAATGTAACCATTACAGTCGAACGTGATGAACCAACTACACCAAGGGGAGGATCGGAGCTATTGCTCCGCTCGGTGATGGTGATTCGGGCACGCAAGCGACTTTAAGTAGCTCACTCCATAACCCCCCTTTTCCTTGACGACGATTTTCTAAAAAGTCCACGATTGTCCCGAAACTCCATTTTACTGGAAGAATTATCCCCGGACTTCCTACTACCTTCTCAGGCTTCACCGAGTATTTTCTTTATGGAATACTTAAAGAAAGTTAAGCAGAGAAGGCAGCGATAGCAAAAGCAGTGGTGGTGGAAATAGAAACTCGGGAAGTGAATGCGGCAGATCTTTCTGGTCCTCCCCTTGGTGTAGCTGAAGTAGGGTACATACAATGAATGACTGGTTTTTCTTCTTCTTTCGGTATCTCGGAATCAAGATCCTACTCGACCATTCTCGTTCCATCTCGAGGACCTCGCACCAAATCCATGTGCTACAACATCCCTCGAACGTCTCGTCGCACACAACCTCAGAATTACATTACAATAGGCATGCAAGTCCCGTAAACTCAAAAGTCATATACAGCACCAATCCATGCTTTTCAATCGCATAAGCTGTCTCTCTCCGTCCGTATTATTCAATGGTTCCGCGGCTGAGGTAACAGGCCAGCAGCCATGATCGAAGACGGCGCCAATCGATCATGGCGACTAAGTCTCGACGTAAGCAGATCGACCACGCGGCGGTGATACTCAATCATCCGCTTCTCGAGCTCAATGAGCTCGAACAAGAGTCCCGCGGTGCTGCGGGCCCTCGCTGCTAGCAACCGGCCGACTTTGGCGTGCTCCTCTTCCAGGATCTCGAGCGGCCACAGCGACGGGTTGTCTTCCAGTGCGTGCGAGGGAAAGTAGTCTTCCACTAGGAGGAGCATTTCGATCAAGCGCCCGTCTAGGTTGCCTGGACTGCGATGCGTGACGGCATTTTGGAGGCCGACACGAAGAGTCTGTGTCGTGTCAGTAAAGCCCCTTTCCCCTTGAATACAAGTACAATGCATTAGGCTGGATATCAACTCACTTCCCAAGTCTGACTTTCCGGCTGAATCTTTGCGCCGCCCCTCCGAAGCCAGAAAAGGAGTCTCTGCTGCTCAAGCGTCCACGGGCCGGTGAGGAGGTCGTCAGGGATCGTCGTCTTTGGGTGTACATCAACGTAAAGGTCAAGCGCCGGTTTGGAGCCGTTGAGGCCGTAGGAGAGCCAGTCGTATTCGAAACAACCGCGGGAGTCAAAGTGACCGAAACCGCCGACCCGATCGTGAGGTGATTCGAGGGGGTTATCCTGCTCTGCTTCTTCTTCGTCTTTCAGGCCCACGTGGGAGTGTGAGTACCACCTGTCGCGGGCAAAGCGCCAAGCCCAGATGTGTCGAGCCTCAAAGATGATGTCCACGTTGATCCATGGACTGCTCAGCAGCGAAGACTGGCCACAAAGTCAGCAGAGTGAAAATCTGGGGAAAGACATTGTGGGCTCAAACCTGGAATTCGGCGTCACCTGGAAATAACTCGGGGAAGCTCTCATAACGCCATAGTCCTCGCGCGTCGTCTGCCGCGCCTTGTTTCAAAGCCGTCTTGATCACTCGCTTGTCGACACCGAACCAGCAGTCCCAGGTCGGATGGAAAGCGGCAATGAGAATATTGACGAGAGTAGATCGCCCAGAGAGCAGAGCGCCGATGCGCGGGCTACAACGAGGAAAGTTGAGATTCTCGCTGAGTATAAAAATGTGCTCGGCGATCTCGAGGGGAAAGTTGAGTTCAAAGAGTGAATGGCGCTTGGCGACTGGACGACTTGAAAGGCGTGACGCCCGCTTCTGCGCCAGTGATGATGAGTCCTTGGTCTGTGGTTTGGAGGAGGAAGCGGCTTTGCCACGCTTGCCTCGGACTTTGATCGGGGTCAACTGCATGATCTGCCCATGGACAGACAGCCACCTTTCTCCCCGTTTACTCTCTCTCTCTCTCTGTCTGTCTCGTATCCCCAGGCGGGTTTTATGTCTGCGGTCTCATTTCAGAGATGAGAGACGAAAAAGAATTGCCAGCTTGATAGACCTTTCTCTGAGAGGAGTATCAATGAGGATGGTTCAAGGGAAAAGCTGGAGCTGAGGTAAGAATGGTGTAAGTGAAAAACCTTGTGCCTCCAACTATCAAACCTCGTCTGGACTTCAGAGGGGACGATGCGCTCGGCAGTTGGAAATATTGCGCAAAATCTCAAGAGAAATCTTGTGACCAAACAGACTGATCCCCAACGATATCACTCACTCACCCTGGGGAAAACCTCATTTTTCTCAACCCGCTAATTAAGTGACTGGAGGGTCTTCGAGATTTCCCCCCATGTGGGGGTTTTTACTGTGCGAGGGCCGTGTCGAATGACATCAAAGACTGTCCGTGATCACCTGGACCGTGCAGCTGGTGGTCCCAACTTTAAACTCGCTGCGCGGTAAAACGACCAAAAAAAAAGTTGGATGAGTGACGATTGAGAGCTTCCGTGTCGCCAATTCCGCCCTGCAATCATCGCGCAAAGCGAGCCCGACGACTTTCACGAGGAATTCGCATCTCCAAGCTTGCGGTATAGGTCCTCTCGGCCCGCGATGCCTCCCGCGATGCAGAGTCGAGTACCTTCGACAAGCCTGCTTAGGTTCCTGCGATCGCAAACGGAGGCCTCAATCTTCAGCCGGAACCAAGGCATCGAAGCCTCCGCTTGTATCTCTCGATGCGGCGGCTCCCCTCGACCAGCTCAAAACCCCAGGTGCCTCGCAAAGCGAACCTCAAAGACGGGCACGAGATCACTTTCGACAGCGACTACGAGCTGCAGACGACCCGAGATCCACATCACCACCGCCGCCCGGATATCCCGCAGGCACAGAGCTCTCGAACCACTAGCGACAGCATCGTCGTCGCCCTCGACGACCACCGCCGCCGCCGCCTTCTTCAGCACAACTCGCGCGAGACAAGATGCTTGCGGCGACGACCCCTCGGCGCCCCGTCGGCGGACCTGGAAGGAGAAGCTCTGGGGCATCAGCAGCTGGGGCGGCGCCAAGGCGTTGAAGCCCAACGACCTCCCCTTCCACGACGAAGGGGGCGCGGGTTCCATGTTCAACAACCGCCGCGTGCTGACCGCCAAAGCCGCGCTCGAGCCGAGGCTGCGGTGTACCGAGGTGGACGAGAACGGTGAGGTCATCTTGGTGGATGGCGAGTTCAAGAAGACGGAGCTCATCGCAAAGGTTAGAGAAAGTGTCCCATGGGAAATAGACAGGAAAGGGCCAACTTGGTGATAGAGACAAGACGCTGACGAAGAGATACTGCTAATAGTACGGCCTGCTACCCCGCGACTTGCGAAAGATTGACTCGTCAAACCTCCCTCACATCTTTGTCCGCCAGTCCGCCATCCTCCTCAACCTCCTCCACCTCAAAGTCCTCATCAAAAAGGACCGCGTCCTCCTCTTCGACGTCTACGGCTCAAAGACGTCGTACCCGCAGTCCGCCTTCATGTACGATTTACAGGGCAAGCTCAAACAAAAGAACACGCAGGGCGGCGGCAACGGCGTCGGCGGCCTCCCCTACGAGTTCCGCGCCCTCGAAGCCGTTCTCACTTCTGTGACGTCGGAGCTCGAGGCCGACTTCGAGTCCGTCCGGGACCCCGTCATCCGCGTCCTCAGCGAGCTCGAGCACGATATCGACCGCCACAAGCTGCGCGTCCTCCTTATCTTGTCTAAGCGCGTGAGCACCTTTGAGCAAAAGGCCAAGCTGGTCCGCGACGCTATCGAGGAGCTGCTCGAGGCCGACGACGACTTGGCGGCCATGTACCTCACCGAAAAGGCGCATGATCTGTACCGCGGGGTGGATGACCATACCGAGGTGGAGCTGCTGCTTGAGTCGTATAATAAGCTCTGCGACGAAATCGTCCAGGAGGCTCAGAACTTAGTGTCTGGCATCCGCAACACCGAGGAGATGTAAGCCCCCCCCCCGTCTCCCCCTTTTCCACTTCCACAAGCAATCCTCCAGACTTTCACAAGTCGAACACGCCTCACTAACATCAAAACTGCAACCCAGCATCCGCGCAATTCTGGACGCCAACCGCAACGCCCTCATGCTCCTAGAACTCCGCTTCAGCGTCGGCACCCTAGGCCTAGCAATGGGCACCTTCCTCGCGGGCCTCTACGGCATGAACCTCGAAAACTTCATCGAGGACACAAACTGGGGCTTCGCCGGCATCACAGTCACCTCGACAATCTGCTCTCTCCTCGTCTGCTGGTACGGCCTCGTCAAGCTCCGCAAGGTCCAGCGCGTCAAAATGATGTTTGACGAGCGCGGACCCCTGACGCGGAATACCCGCTCCTTGCTCTCTTCGTCGCCCTCGCCTTCGTCGTCCCATGCCCAGCAGCAGGCTGTCGGCCAGCAGCATTGGTTGGACGACGGGCCGGGGAGCCTTCTGGACGCGAGGAACCGCGAAAAGATTCGGCGCGTGACGAATCAAAAGGCCGCTGCGGCGGCGAATGCCAAGAGCACGACCAAGAAGTGGTTCCAGTGAGCGCCAAGCCCGTGTACGACAAAAAAGACAAAGAAGAAAAAGGAAAGAAACAAGAAATCGTTCCCCCAACGGTGCCCAACGGGCAGGGCATGAAACAGAGAGGAGAAACAACGATAAAGCCGATTCATCGACTTCCTGTGTGTGCTGTTTCCTGGCCTTGTGCATAAGCTGTAAGCGCGACGGCTGCGTCCTTTCCAAAGAGCAGGGGGAAAGAACAGAAGATCACACAAGCCTTTGATCAGTGAAAGATAGACTGTTCAAGGATTCGAGGGCTTGGTGCAAAAAAACCTTATCCTTGGAACGGACTGTACGACAGCGGCGGCGTCTCCGGAAGCAGACGCAAGGCGCCGAGGAAGAAAAAAAAAAAGAGTTACCCGGTATACGAAGCGCCACGAGCAACATATCCTCAAACGACTCTGCTTCTTCCTCCTTCCTCCCTCTTTCTATTCTCCCATTCGTAATTATGTACAACACATTGCGGCTTTGTATATTTGTCAAGGTTCCTTCCTCTACATTGGGGGACAGGACCATTCATCTTCTCAGCTCATTAGAAGAGTCTGTAAAACACTCGATACCTAGCTAGAACACACACCCCTGTACCAACAGAATAGTAACTATGCCCAATACACAACCCCCAATAGGTTCAATAGATTCCAAAAAATGATATTTCTCGGTCCAACGAGATTGAATGGCGTTTCTTCGACGTGATCTTGAAGGCATGCCACTGTTCTTTTCGGCCTACGTATCGTCGATCTGTCCATCTCCAGCCGCCCTACCCGACCTTTTATTCGACTGGTACGAGCACTACAAAGTGATAGTCTGCGGCAAGTCATTGCCCGCCTCTCTTGACAAGTGACTGGGGCATGCCGCCCCGCAAGCTATGAAGGCAGCAGCACCGCCGCTGGTGGCGGCTTCAAACTTCCCCCGACCATTTCCCAATCCATCGAGATGAGCGGCGAAAAAAAAACCAGACGTCCAAACTTGGGGGAAAGCCGGTGATTGCACAAAAGACGCTAGAGTTTAAGGCTTTCCTTTGATCGACTGGAATAAGAAAGAGAGTCGGCCGGAAACGTCAAAGTCGGTTTCCGAGCTAGACACCGGTATCGATTCGATGGCACTTGATGGTGGAAGCACGATGACAAGGCTAGGAAAAAAAGAGACACCTCAAATGACTTCGTCTAATGGTATCAGGGAGCATACGGCTGCAGAAGAGAAGCTACCCACCCCCTCTCTGTCACGATTCTAGGCCAGCCCAAGTTCTGCATGGTAGGTGTTTTCGAGCGAATCAGCCAAATATTAGTACGACTGCCACGAGGGGATTCGCTGGTCCGCGAAACTTTGGCAGGTTGAACGGAGTAAGCCACTACTAGTACTAGCCGCATCAAAAGGCTTGCCGGACATCAAAAGTGAGAAACGGCGTGGAGGGTCAGAGCTCCCTGGACCAAACCAGAGTGATGAGAGTCTGGTTTGCTGCTGCATTCGACCGGTGAAGGACGGGCTCGGGAGTCTGTGACTACTTCAAAGTGCATCGGGCAGACAAGGGCAGCTGGGGCCACCCTTACCCTGGCTTTCGTGGAATGCGTGCGGTTTTATGTATACGACTGACTCGAGTGTAGGGTTGTATTGCATTCCGGTGTGGTGTTTGCTAGCAAACGGCCTGCGAGGAGGCCATAGAGTACTGCCACGTAGTGAAAAGCGGTGTACTTCGAGACCGTGATAGCTTTCCTTCATCAAAGTTGGGTCCCATGTCTGGCAGAACTCTACTCCTGGCTGCGTAGGAGAGCCCTGTTGAGACGGGCATCGATGACGAGGAGAAATTGCTAGTGAGGAAGCCTCTGCCCATGAGACACGGTGGCAGCGATGATGCCCCCGGTTCAAGTATCAAAGAGGAGCCTTTCACCATGCCGCTTACCCAGAGTCAAGGTATGCAACGCCATGATTGATAGGGGCCATGTGCCCCGATGTGTGGCGACGGATATCGGGCAACAGGCGAGTGATCTAGACAGGTAAGTGATATCAAGAAGGAGAACAAAGTAGCTTTGTACAGTTTTAGGTTGCTCCAGAGGCGAAGAAGGGTTGCTGCAGCATGTGCATCTTCATGAGCACCTTTATGAGCTTCTCGCAGCAGCAAATTTGAGAGTAACCTTCGTTCGCTTCGGAGGTTTCTAGGATGATAGAGAAGCCCGGGGAGAATTCCTTATCAGCGGTCGCCCAGTTGACCGGAAAGCCTTGGCTAATGTCTGATATAACTCGGAAATCACCCTGAAATGATCATCAGTTGAAAAAGTGGACGGGAAGCTTGAGTGGTGACTAGCCCTTATTTCAGACTATGCTCAACTTCGCTGAAGAGTAGAGGCTCGAGCCTGACTTTGCCTTTTGCTTCTTGGTGGGGGTTCTCCTTTTGCCTTTGGCCCTTTGTTGTTTTCTATTCCTGTTCGTGATGAGGAAAACCAACCGTCGCCAAGTTGAGACAGCTAAAGCTACCTGTCGCCAACGAGCAAGCATAATTTCCGATGTTGGGAGCCTTATCTTTGGCGCCTGCGCGTGGAGATGACATATTTGTGAGTGTGTTAAGTCTAGGTCTCACGGTGAACGTGAAAGAACCCCGGCTGCCCGGATATGACTCCGGCAGCGGACCGCGCAGTGTGGGGCCGATGCGGTGCAGCACTCGGTGTTAAAAGTGAATACCGTGTGTAGCGCGAACTCGGACTCGAGTTGTCCATGCGGGGGAATCGGGGAAAGGGGCAAGAGAGCCATGCAGCAACATGCTTCCCGAGAGCAATTAGAGTTGTGGAGGAGAATCTCGATTGGAGCTCCTCCTCCACCATGGTCGAGAATCCGTTGGCGAGTCAAGGCGTTCGCCTTTGGGGGACATTGGAGGTTTCTTTGGGGTCATGGGTGAGTTTGGCCCTGTCAAGAAAGCTGTGCGAAGCTCAGACCATCGGCCGACCTTATTATCGACCTTATGAGTGTCACGGACGTTTCCAAAGCTTAAGTGGCGAGCATGCATGGCCTATAGTTTCGCATGTACTGCTCATGTAGCTCTTGGAGACGCGAAATCTGACATTGTGGGCGTCGAGGCCGTCTTGAGGCTGCGTGTCGAAATCCAGGCAGTTGCCAGGCGACCATTCTCGGGATTCGATGATGCCATGGGCGTAGCTGAAATGGACTCCAAGCGACTGCCTTGTCAGTTGATGTGTAGACTTCTTTCTCATGAACACTGCTTTCCATCAGCCCTAGATTCCTAGCATCAGCCTTTGGTCGTGTTGTTGGCGAATGCAGAGATTGACAGCACGGATAGGCGGAGGGTAAATGTACCCTTGTAAGGGGGAAACGAAACTTCGTGTTGACGGAGCCTCTCAAAGCCTCCCCCCGGTCGGCGGGAACGGGACGGGGTTCTTTCTTGGAGAAAGTGGGCTGATATCTGCCTACGTACTTGGTACGGGTACCATGGGGACGGATAGCTTCCGGCGTTTCCTCCAACCGGCCAAAGCTCATGATGCGATGCGAAGCGAAGTGTTGCTGCAAGCTGTATGCGGATTGACTCTCGGGTTCGGCAAATCTAGAGCTGCATACGACGGATGCTATGGATTATGACTGGATGCCAACGGTGTCCGAGGTTTGGGAAAACGGCCGGCGGCTCAGAGGCTGCTGGAGAACGAGCGTGGCTTTCCCAGTCCGGCACATGCAGGAAAGTCGGATCTCTGACGAAGGCCGGAGAAGACCTACCTGGATGTGCCGTCAGTACACCGTAATAGCAGGCCAACCAAGCACAGGGCTTATTGGCGATGACAAGAGAAGGGGGGAACAATAGCTCAAAGTGCCTAGGGGAGGGCAGATACCACATATTGCAAACGAATGAGATGCATTTCCGAATTGGCCTTTACCTTGATCTGGGCTGCTTCAAAGCTTGTATCCGGGGACGTTTACTTTTGCTCACCACCAGGCGTCAACGTTGTACATTGACAGTGGGGCACGTCGACGTGCCACATGGCAGGGGCCGTATGATGGTAGTAGGTGGAGGGAGCGACAACGAAGTAGAAGCCGAGGAGTTGTGTTATCAGCAGGCTTCCGTCTGTGATAGTCAAGTTTGTGACATTGTCCAAGTCTGTGTACCATCTTCTTATCGAAGACCGGGAGGCTTGTCAAGGTGTGAGGAGTCGCTGGCGGCGCTGGCGGCTTGGGAAGTCCATGGTTGACACGAGTTGGAGATTGTGGTTTGACTGGGGGAAGCTTCCTGAGGTAGAGTTGTCGTTGTTGAGGTCCAAGCTGATCAACGTAGGAGAAAGCGTTGCTGTACTCTGTAGATGCAAATCTGCCTCTGGCAAAAGGTATTTTGATGGCAGGTCCATGTCTCCAAGTACCTTCCTCAGCACTAATAAGAAACCTTGCACTGGCACACTGGAAAGGCAGGCACAGGTCAGGCGCACGGGATGTCATGTACTCCGTACTTCGTACCCAAGACGGGTTTGAGAAAGGGAAGGCGCCATGCCCTTCTCCTTCTCCACTAGGGATCCAATGGCTGAGATGGTGCAGCACTGCAGGAAGGGTGGGACGGGACTCGGTACGTATCTGTCCGTGGCGGCGGCACCGGCGGGGCCTTTGAGAGTTGGAAGGCAGGAGCAGGTATCCGTACATCATCCATCTTAGCACCTGCCTTCGCTGCTTCTGCATCTAATCTTACCTAAGGCAAATTTCCACGGAGGACGGCGTGTTTGCAGCCGTGTATTTTTTTTATATGAAGATGCATCCAGTACGATACTTGTTTGTTGTCGATGGGAAATCCTCCTACCCTCGGGCACCTGTACTGAAGCAGTGAACACATGAGAACGACTGCGGTAAGTATAGAGAACAGAATTAGTGCAGAGTGCGGACGGGAGTCGAGCCATGCAGGAAATGGGGAATCAGGCCATGTCGGATGTGGCGCCAACAGCCGGAAGCCCAATCCCATGTCACCATGTCCCTCCATTGAGTCCATTGTCCAGTTTGTTCCAATCTTTCCCAAACCAATGGTTCTCACCTGCATCTTATCATGTTAATGCTCGCCCTCGGACATTCATCTGGCAAGTCTTTGTCATCTCTTACCGGCCATCTCGCGCAATGATTGTACTGCGTAGACTCTGAATGCCCTGGTCCCCATCCCTGTCGCCTATTGTACCTTCCATGTGTAGGTATTACCTCCATACTGCGTATTCGTAGTGTCCATCTCTCCACACGGGCAGCCAACAGCAAGGTAACACCGCTCACCTTGGACGGCCCACTGTCGACCGCCTTGCCGCCCTGCGCTTCCCGATTCCCACCTGGGCAGTCTCCAGCAAGGGCTCCTTTTCTCCCTCTCACATTCAGGTCTCCCGAGTCCCGTCCTGTGGTCGCGCTCTCGTCACCGTCACACATCAGCCGACAAACCACCAACAAATCAAACTCGAGTCCCGCTCTTACCCAACTCTTCCTTGGATTCGACATAATTGCAGAGCAGCAGCAGAGCAAAAGGACGCGGCAAGCATCCTCCCTTTGCCTACATTCACCTGCGCCGCTGTTGTCTACGGATATCTCTCTCGCATTCCACCGCTTCACCGTACACCTACCTGGGAACCGCACTCACCGTTCGGCCCTTGACTCGAAAACGTTAGCATCGGGACGTTGATTGTCGACCACCTTGGAGAGCCCCTCCCCCGAGTCCCCCTTACGGTCTGGTCTCTAAGACTCTACCCGCCCGCGACTCGCCCATCTCACCACCACAGCGTCGCACGCAGCACGACCGCTCGCCTCTCCCCGCTCCGTTTCTAGCCTGCCGTGGGACGGATAGCCCCCCTCGTCATTCTCAAGGGTCCCCAAGATCTGCGCTCTCTTTCGCCCCTGCCATCAATCCGCCCTTTCACACTCAACCCGTATTTCCGGCACAGCGACGCTCCGCTCGGCTTCCCATCCCCTCCTCGACAATCGACAATCGACAATCGACAATCGACAATCGACACCACTCACCAAACCTTGCATCATCCTCCTATCCCGTCAAGTCACGTTCGCGGTCCAGGCCGCATCCCAATTCGCCGTTTCGTCTCTCACACCCAAAAAAGAAACGACATACACCACCCTTTCGCGCCCTCTACCAATACAGAACATCCCACCGGACCTATTCCTGCTTCCCGCCCTTGGGCCTTCCTTGCCCTTCACCACCACCTGCAAACCTTGGCTCTCCTCTCGTCCTATCATTGCCGCTGTCCACTTCGCCTACTCGCCAGAGCTTGTGGTTGCCCTGCCTCGTGGGTTCATCCTTTCTCCGGCCTCACTTGATCCGTTCGATGTCAAGTCAGTACCTGCAACTTCCGTTTCAACCCATCTGCGCATTAATTGCCAATTAGTCGTACCACCTTTGTCTGCTTGACCGGCTGGCGAGGTCCGGAGAGCTGTCAACCACACCGAGCCCCGAACCACGATGCCTCTGCTCGCGCTGCCCTGACTTGACGATTTCCTCTTTTCCGACCCCTCTGCCCGCCATGGGTTCGCTCGCTGGCCAGACGAGCTCATCTCCGGACATGGCCCGTCCGCCGCCGCCTCTCGTGACTACCGCAGACGATGGCGAGGCAGAATATCGCGCTCAAGTGCTGCGGCTGTCGTCGCAACGGTCAGAAGCAGACGTGGAGGAGGAACTGGTCGCAAAGGCAACCGCCCTGGGTATTCCCACGTCCCGATTTGCACACGATAAGCGCAATACCTCGAGCGCGGAATCGCAGACTTCGACCATCGCGACGCAACATGTCCGAACGTTTTCAAATGCCTCGCGGGATTCGGCCAGCACAACCTTGACGTCTCATCCGTCTTTACATGCGGTTCCGATTGCCGCCGACGTCCCTCCACAGTCTCTCGCCAGGAAACGCTCCAAAAGCCTCGGTTTCTCTCATTACGACAAGTATCTGTCGCAAATAGACCCCAACATACACCAACCCAAGATCCAAAAGGCACCTCCAGCAATACCACACGATACAACCGCACACAGCCTCTTCAGCGTGACTTCAAGAAGAAGCTACTTTAGCATCAAAGAGGGCATTAGGAAAATACGATGGAAGCGCAAGTCTGGCTTGCTAGAATCCACAATGTGCGTAATCCCCGTCACCTGCCTTCCTTGTCTGTTTGCTAACCAACCTCGAGTTCTTGCATATGTTGTCGCAATGACTTTAACAAGTCGAATGCCTTGCACAGCTTGCCTTGTGGCCACACGTATTGTGCCGAGTGTCTCAGTATCATGATTCAGCAAGCTACGACGGACGAGTCCAAGATGCCGCCTCGATGCTGCACACAGCCGATTCCGGGTTCCATCATTCAGAAAATCCTCAACCGAGAGGAGCAACATGCCTTTTTGAAGGCTGTTTTGCAATTCAGCACGCCTTGGGAAGCTAGAATCTTTTGCCCAAATACGGCCTGTGGTGAATTCATCCCTCCTCGCAATCGGATCGACCCGAAACACCCTTTCGACGTGGTGTGCCGTAAATGTCGGACACGGGTATGCGTAATGTGCAAACGCAATGCCCATCCCGTCGGCAAAGATTGCCCTTCCGATTGGGAACTGGAGGCTGTTCTCAAGATGGGCGAGAAGTCCGGCTGGCGACGATGCTACAAGTGTCGAACACTAGTCGAGTTAAGTCAGGGCTGCACACATATGACTTGCAGATGCAAAGCTCAGTTTTGCTACATCTGTGGCGCCATCTGGGATCCGTCCGTCGGTTGTCCCAACTTCTGCAACGGAGACGAAGAGTTGGAGCGCAGGAGAATGGAGGAAGAGGCCAGGGAAGCTGAACTCGAGGCGGAAAAGGTTGCGCAAGAAGCAGCGGCAGCCGCCGAAGCCGCCGAAAAGGTCGAGGCGGAGAAGCGGACCCGCGAGAACGCGCAGTTCTCCACGCTGCAAGGCGAGATGAACGTAGAACTGGATCGATTCCGGGTGTATCTGAGGAAGAAGAAATGGGTCATGTGGACGCGGCATGCCGAGAAGAAGCAGGCCTTGACCGACCGATACTCGGATCAGATCGAAAAGATGAAGGAGCGCCACGCGAAAACGGCCGCTCACCTGGAAGAACGTCAGATCGAGGCTGAGATGGATCTACGGTCAACGCTTGACCAGAGCGAGAAGAGCGTCAAGATTCGCCTCAAGCACATGGAGGCATACTGCGATGGACTTGGCCGCATACAGAATGCCGACCTCCCACCAAGAGTAGTTACGGAGAGGGACTTACGTCTGCTGGGACAACAGTACAATGTGCGAGACGGCATGGAGCGTTTGCATCAGGCCAAAATCAACGTTTTGCGAGACCGGCAGGCCAAGCGCATGGAGGAGCTATTGGAGCGACAGGAGCAAGAACTCGAGAAACTGACCGACAAGAAAGAGCAGGACATAGAGAATCTGGCAACGGATTTTGCGCAAGAAGAAGATACCCTGGTCAAGATTTTTAATGACCGCAGGCAGAGACTGCAACGACGTTGGCTGATTGCAATCGAAATACTCCGAAAAGAATTGGAGGAGCAGACTGGCGAGCAGTACGCGTCGCTCGACCTGCCAACATGGCCCGACGACACCGAGACACAGGATGAGATCCTAGCATCACTTCCCGAGTCTACCCCAAGCAGGGACTAATTTGGTTTCGCCGCTGGCTCGCATCAACGCTTGCTTTCGATTCGTAGCATCACCTGCAACCGACTTTTCTTTGGCTTCGTACGTCGCGCACAGATACCTAGGATTTTGATGTTTACAACAAAGGAGTTTGGAGGTTTTGGGACATATCGGGCATGGATACCACTCATTGGTTTAGCACCTGCACTAGCATTGGTTGCGAATGTTTCCTTGAGTCGTCAGGTGGAAAAGGACTTGACTTTTCTCAACACCCTATTTTACGATGACGGGTGGACGGATGGCAGCATTTCATGACACAGACGGGCGGATCAAGTAGTGCCGGTTAGCGAACGCGATGAAAGGGGGAACCGGACACGAATGGACGATTTATTTCACATCCTTTCACTATCGGCGGACGTCTGGTGTTGAGTGCCTCACTGACAGCACAGCAACTTTTGAATGAAAATCTGAACAAGACAAACAGATTACTAGCTAGGCCTTTGGGATTCAAAGATTGGCCCGAGGCTCATCCCATGAACGGCAGCTTGTGAAAGCGGGCCGAGAGTGGCGGTGGAACATGGCGGCCCACGCTCCGCCTCTAGTGAATATTCATCTGTGTCGAAGCATGCTTGGAAAAATTGATGGATGTGAAGAAAACTTGGCGTCGCAACAGAAGGTATGACTCTCGTTAAAATCGGATGTCGAGGCCACGAGCCAGTCGGCGTGTTTGCCATGGATCGTCGACGACGGGCCTTATGGCAGAGTATGGGGTAAATTGTGGGATTGTACGTAAGTTGAACGCCGGCTCGTTGAAATTAACCTCTAGGTGTTGGTTTTCTCGAATTCTCCGAGCACTGCGATGCCGTTGGTCCACTGGAAGTTGCCGCCCACTACCGGGGTGGGCTGCTATGAGGCTCAAGGCGGAGAGACAAGGGCTGACCTTGCATAGACTATTGTGATGGTGTTTCAGCTCAAACCAATTCGAGGCCAACGCACCCCTCCATCGCAACAACTCAAAACCCTTCGCCGTATCTGAGAGTTTTACAACAGTGGGATCGTGGCGGTTCAGGAGTGAGTGGTCGACGGTGCCGTCACTTTGCAACCATCCCATCTCGAGTTGCTCGCAAGGCCCGTCCTCTTCCAGTTATGAGTTGACGAGGGCTTTCCCAATGGATGGCATGGCAGTCTTTCTCTCTCTCTCTCTCTCTCTCTGTCTTTTACGGCAGTAGAGGCGAACCAAACACGACCATTTTGTAAAGCTTGTTCGTTTTGGCTCAGCGCGGGGCAGATCGACTGAGGCCCCATTGTCTTGTTTGTGTGGGCCAGCGGAGGGCTATAGAGTTGTCAAGTCTTGCTAACTAAGACCCAGGTTGACGTATTGCCCGAATAGGCTCTTCACCAACAGATGCGAGACCAGGATTAGGTCGATCCGATGCCGCCCATCCCACCCAAATCAAATCACCCCCCAAACATCCGCATGAGTTGACCAATTTGGAAATGCTTCGAGTCTATCCCTTCTTACCACCCCGTACAGTGCTCCGTGCGCTCAAACAGTTGCGCAGTTGCACACATCGGCCTTCGTCTCAGATTAGACTGCTCGTCTAACCGCGGCCGGCCTATGACAGAGCGCTCGCCCTTCGTGCCAACCTGTCACCGCACGGCGACATGCAGCAGTATATTTCCAAACCCTCGCCGCCGTCCATCCTTCTCGAGGTTCCTGTTTCCTTTTCTGGCCAGACGACTAAATTCCGCGGGGAGGAATACGAAAGCGACTCCGTGATCAACAAAGATTTTAGAGATTGGAATTGGCCGATACACATCACGATACATTGTACTAGCACGGCGAAGACGACGACAACATCCGACATCTAGATAAGTTCCTTGGACAGGACTTTCAAGATGGCGTCAAAGAGCGGCTGGACCGAGTCTACGGATAACTTCGCCACGGTGCAGAGGGTCGAGACCCCGAACGCCCTGGTGGTGGGATCGACGCAGTTGTTCGAGGGAGGAGTCATTCGATTTGTGCCTATGCCCACGCCGGATCCCAAGGGTTAGTCTGCGACTATTGGAGCTACGCGGGGAGGAGGGATCGACTGCGATACGCAACTGTTTGCTGATACGATTTGACAGATCCCCTGAACTTGCCGAACTGGAGGAAATGGACGTCCATTGGCGCACTCTGCTTCTGTAAGTCTGGTATTAGTTGAATGAACTTGGGTTGCCACTGACTAGTTCGCAGTCGGCTCTCTCGCCCTCGCGGCTGAGTTCATCGTCGGTGCCCTGGTACCTGTGTTTGTGCTGGAGTACTCTGGCATCGACCCTCACATCCTCAGTCAGATCGATATCTCGGCCTTGAACAAGCCCGGCGAAGTCAACCTCGACCCCGTCAAGCTGCTTGCTGGTCTCGGTGGACCGCCCCTGTACCAGGTCGCCCTGCTGGCCTCCGTCCCATTGCTCGTCAACGGACTTAGCTCCTACCTTCTTGTACCGCTCTCGGTCGCCGTTGGCCGTCGCCCTGTGCTTCTGCTCTCCGGTTTCCTGGCATGGACTGGTGGTCTCTGGGCAGGTTTCTCCCAGGGACTCGGCAGCCATTTGGCTGCTCGTTGCTTCCAGGGATTCGGTGCGGGTGCCGTCGAGGCTCTGATTCCTCTCATCATTCAGGACATGATGTTCATCCATCAGCGCAATAAGGCCATCTCTTCCGTCGGTGCCTCCCAAGGCCTCCTGATTGTGAGCTTGGGTATCATGAGGTGAGTCTTTTGAAACACTTGTCGGCTATGCCAGCGTATTTCACAGTGGCTAACTACTTGAAACAGCCCCATCATTGTTTCCCGCCTCTCTTGGCGCTTCATCTACTGGATCACCTCCGGCGTTGGTGTGCTTGCCTGGATTGGTCTTATCCTGCTCGTGCCTGAGACCCGCTGGATTCGCAACGACGATGAGCTCGGTGAGTATCTTCTTCCTTGAACCACTGGATATATCTGACGTACTGGAACAGCTGGTAAGGAGGTCTACCCCCTGCGCCCTGGCGAAACCCGTCCCCGCATCGACGAATCGACCTTCCGCCCTCGCTCCAACTGGGACGAGTTCGGCATTTTCAACTACGGCTATGAGTGGAAGGAGGCCAAGCAGTCCGTCATTGACATGTTCAAGACGACCCTGTTCCCCAACATCATCTGGGTCATCATCATCAACTCCATTCTCGTCTCCATGCAAGGTGCCGCAGGTCAGGTCGGTTCGTCACTCCTGATTGCCGCCGGCTGGAAGTTCGAGACGCTCGGTTTCGCCGTCATCCCCATTGTCATCGCAAGTCCGTTCGTCTGGTTCTTTGGTGGCTACGTTGCCGATAAGATTTCCAACTACATGGCGAAGCGAAACGGAGGTCGACGTGAGCCCGAGGCTCATCTCATCAGTTTGGTGTTCCCGCTCCTGGCTTCCATCGTTGGCCCGATCCTTTTCGGTTACGCCGGCGAGAACATTCGAAGTCTGCCTTCTATCGTCGTGCTTGTCTCCATCTTCTTGATCGGATTCGGTTTGTTGACTGCCAACACCATCTTCGCCGTCTACTTGGTTGAGAGTTATCCCCGTTTTGCAGGGTAAGTTGTCGTTCATCACGTAGCTCAAATTTTCGCAACTAACATGTATTTAGACCCGTCCTGGTCAACGTCTCTTCATCCCGTCTCATCATCGGTTTCATCATGTCATTCAACGTCACTACCTGGATCGAGGATCTCGGATTCTTGAAGAACTTTGGCATTTACAGCGCCGCGCTCGCGGGTGTTTCGATGCTGTTGCCCGTCATGTACAAGTACGGCAAGCCCATGCGCGCCTGGACCGCCGGCCGCCTCGAGCCCAAGGTCGCCCCGGCCAAGACGCTCGAAGACGACGACGACGACCGGTACTGGAACAACGAGCGGCCGCAGTGGCAGGACGAGAAGATGGGTACCCCCATTGGCATCGCCCGGCCGATGTAAGGCATTCGCCATGTTTGAGGGACTAGCATCACGACAATTGATGTATCCCTGCGCGACAGACGCAAGCGTACGAAAGATTGCAAAGAAAACGACAGAATGTTCAACACGGAGAGACAGAGGGGCATTTCAGCGTTTGCTGTAGATGATAAAGCGGAGCAGACTTGCGGGCGCCACTCTTGGAGGAACGGTGTCAAGATTGGAAGGGCGCCGCATTATGAGGTATGGCTGGCGCCTCTTGGAGGCTGAGCCCAGTGTATGACTTTTCCACCATCGTCAGACCCGGAACTCGATTCGGGTCTGTTGTTCATTTTTCACTCTTGGAGGAGGAGATGAAGGGGGGGGATGTGTGGGTTGGCGGGAACGTGTTTTCGGAGCCTGCTAGACGGTAGTGTTTTTGTTGGCGTTTTCGCTCTGCTGTCCCCTTTCCACCGTCTCGCCTTCTTCTGGCTCTCTTGGCTGCAATATGGCGGCGCACCATGTCCGGGAGAGGAAGCGTCTCGACACTTTGCTGTTGTTGAGATGTTACTAGTGGGAGACGGTGTCTTGTTTCATTTTTTACTCCATGGAACTTCGTTGAAAATTGAGGGGCTGTGTTCTCTAAGATACTGTAGGAATAGCTTCTTCTTTCGCGTCAGCGGGGGATGGGGGAGATTGGATAGTGGAATGAATATCAACCCTCTTTTTGTCCTAAACCTTTGACCTCTGCGTGACTTCGGGATATGTTTGCGAATCTGGTGTACGAAAAAAGCATCATGGTTAGTTATTCTCATCGTGAGACGACGAGATGAAGAAACAGTCACCCAAAGCCTGAATTACAACATCACGATAAACGAGTCAAACCAGCTACTCTCAATGAGATTTCGAGAAACTATCATGGTCTTTCAGCCTCGACCTCATCCTTTACATTAAAAATATCAACTAGAGAGTAAACACGCTCAAGACCTCGATTATCCATCCAACCAGGAAGAGATCTAAATCAAAAACCTGCATCCCCAGATTCAATCTAGCATGAAAAACTCCAGATTTCTCACACGTCGTCGGACATCCTCCCCGTCCATGAGAAGAAATCCTGAAACCCGGGGATGGGGGACTGTATGGACAGAGAGCATTGAACCAAAGAAGAGCCAGCGCGGGGTGTAAGTTCACGCCCGAACCGGACCCCACGTTTTTCCTCTTTCTCTTTCTTTTTCCCCGATCTCTTCTCGACGTTCTTTCCCCGAATCGAGCACATGTTCGTCCACGGCCTCGGTACCGGCGACGAAATAAAAAGTCTAAGAATAACACCCCGGCTGGGGATGGACAGCGAAAGAGAGGGAGGGCGGGATGGAGGGAGGGAGGGGAGCAGCGCGATTCGATCAAACCTTGAATTTTTCATCCCGTTGGCGTTTATGGGAGGTGTGGGAGGAATAGGGGGGCAATCCATGTAAGGAGTTCTGGGATGGATGATGAATAAAGTCTGGGGTTTGGTGAAGACTGAAGGTTAGTGTAAGGAGGGGTAGGGTGAGGTGTCGGAGAGATCTCATCCGGGGGCGTTAAGGGGATTGGATGAAGTGGATGAGTTTGGTTGGGGTGTGTGAGAGTGAGTGAAGTGTGGGTGGGAGAAGCGTGGAGGATAGGAAGGGACGAGAGAGGTTGCCTCGCACTTTCACACCGGCGTATCAGTATGAGAGGTGGTGGATGGGAGGGCAGGGAAGGGGGAGAACGGGATGGAGCTGGTATGTGCACGGCGCGCGCCTCTTTTGGTATGTTGTGTCTGTGAAAGTACGTAGTAGTGTATATGCGTGTGTAAGGGTGGGATGAGTGGGATACGATGTATCATCAGAGGAAATCAAGAACCCTTTCTTCACATCTCAGCTCTTGTCCCGAAAGTTACGCTCTTGAGGCATGATCCCTATTTAGTATATACTCTGGGAGATGAGTGTGATGGCATAAGGGTCTACACAGCGAATGTGAAGGGAGAATGACGGTAACACACACAACTTGATATACACAGCTTGGCAGCCCCAAAGCCTCAATATACCCGCCTCCCTCCACCTCGCCAGCTTACATAGTATAGCAACAGGTTCGGAAAACGAACTATCGAAAGTTGCCGTTCTTTCGTCATGAGCAAGGTTACGCCCACACAGCATGCTATCAGAATTCCGGGGTGTCTGTCACTTCCCCGGATTCAAAGGAGAACACGTAGAACGTGAGTAATAACAGAGAGTGATATTGACCGGCGCAGTAGGAGGAGAGGACACAATCTAGTGTAGCTTACCGATTCGAGAAACATCCGACCTGACCAATGTCTCCGTACGTTCTGCTTTGTCTCTCTTCTCTTCTCTCGAGATACCTCAAAAACAGAAGCAAAACGAAGCCATCGTCGTGCCATGACCACCATCCGCCCCCTTCCCCCTCTAATTCATACCTCCCTACGAACCTTCCAAACCCAGTCGTCCCCCTGGCCCTTGATCAAATGAGAAAAATACCCGTCAGACCGGTAACGAGCAGTTCGGAAGGGGGGGCGTCCAGGACAAGGACCACCTCGGATGTCCGGGGTCACCGAGCCGCGAAGTCATCCATCTCACACCCGCTCTCTTCCTCGTTCTCTCCTTTCTCTTGACCCCCTTCCCGAAGCTTGTGCTTTGATTGGAGTCTCGAGTCTTCCGGGTGTGTGTTTGGGGTATAGTACACACCAAACAGGACACCTAGGAAGAAGAGGGAGGGAGAGGAAATTCTCCAGTCGCAGCCTGGAGTCAATTTTTTCCATCCCCGTTCCTTCACTGCCACCCATACCTGTTTCCGAACTTATTTGCCCTCGAATGATGTTAATCCCCCAATCATGTCCTCGTCTTCGGGGGGATGATTCCCTTTGATGACTACTTTGCCTGACTACCTTGGGGACATTGTCACGTTACCAAGGTTCACTTATTAGATTGAGCTCAACAAGTGACGACAGAACAATAGACAGACGGAGAGATAACACGTGGGAGACCCCCGAAATCACGTCACCGGATGGATAGTCATGTAAAGTATGTAAAGTGATCTCAATATACGAAATGCCTTGTAAATTCAGATAAACGCCTAGACCCATGACCAATTAGCGGGAGGAAAGGGGGGGAAAAGAATGAGCGTGTCCTTATGTGCCAGTCTTTCCCATGCAGCAACAAACCGATCCAAAAGCAACTTCAGCCGAGCTCCCCTTGGCGGGGCTTTCCGGACTGGGGCTTTCCCGAGGGGGAGTTGAGATATACACCCAAACCCCCAGCAAATAACAAAAAGAGGGGAAAAGGCAATCTAGCCCTTTACTTCCTCCCAGCAATGTTCACTCTCGAGCGGAAAGAAAACCTTTCCGTCTAGATTCGTCAGCCATGGAATGCGTGCCATAGCAAAACCATCGCCATATTTTCCCAGCACCTCACCGTCAAACAAAACGTTTAGAAGATGCTGTTAACAATGTTGGAACCAATAGTGGCACCAGCACCAAAAATAGCAGCGTTACCAAGCTTCTTTCCAAACTTCTTGCCCATCTCGGACCCCTTGCCGCCGCCCTCCTTACCCCCCGTGCTCTGGTCCGCAACAGCCTGAGGCGGCGCGTCGGCGTTATACGGGTTCTGCTGGGGCGGCGGGCCCTGGGGCTGGGCGTACTGCGGCTGGGGAGCCCACTGCGGCTGCTGGGCCGCATACTGAGGCTGGGCGGGAGCCGGAGCAGGGACGGGGGCGAAGGCGCCCTTGGCCATGTCCTGCTCGACGAGGACGTACGTCTTGGGGAAGATGCCTTCCTGGCCGGTGCGGAGGTTCCGGCCCATCCACCAGTCGGCGTTCATGTACTCGTGGATGGCGATGCGGTCGTCCCGCTCGAACGCCACGTCGCGGGCGTCGGCGCCGGCGTAGCGGTACAGCGCGCGGGCGTGCGCCAGGACGGGCTTCTCATTTGTGCGGGCGGGGAGGGAAGGGGGTCCGGTCTGGTTATAGGAGGGAGGCGCCGGGGAAGCGGACGGGTTGACGTTCAGGGCGGCCATGGCGGCGGTCGGGGGCGGGGAGGTAGGGTTGTTGTGCTGGACGGGGGTCGCGGCGGCGTTGGGAGCGGCGCGGGATGCGGCGCCGTGGAGGGGGGTCTCGGCGGGGAGGGTGGCGTGCATGCTGTCGTAGGCATCTTCGGAGATGACGCCCTTTTCGAGGAGGTTCTCGAGTTCCTGGAGGAAATGGTAGGTTAGACGAAAGTGTTTCTGCGGTTTCCGTGGGATTGCGGATCGAGTCGGGTATCGAGAGATTTGTGGTGGAAAGTGGCCAGGATCGACCGATGTCTTCCGCGGACTCTCGATAGCCTCGGAAAGTTGTCGGGGAGTGACTTACGTTCTTGATGGTGCGCAGCGACCGATTGGTCTCAATGATGGTTTGTCTGTCCATGGTGCCTGTTGTGAGACTAACCCCACTTGAATCTAGATAGATCGGTTATCAAAGGTGTTGCTCGAGGAGTGTGTAGTGGAAGTCGAGTGTTGTCGTCGGTATTAAGGTGAGTAGAGCAAAAGGCTTCTGGTGAGTCGAAAAGCAAGAGGGTATCAGGTAGTTCAGACGTTGGAAAAATCGAAGGAGGCGAGGTTGTTTCCAGAACAAACAGATGCGGTCGGAGTGAAGTAAAGGTCCGAACAGGAGATCAATACGGACTAAAGTGGCGCTCTCGGTGGAGGGCCAAGTGGGAGGTACAGACTGTACGCCGTAGAAGTATCCGTAGGCAGGCTGTAGCACGGTATCCGTAAGTACCCAAGGTGAGTGGCAGTGCGGCTTAGGTAACACGCCATGCATTTCGATTCCCTTACCTTTTGGTGGTCCCTGTGGTTCTGTGGTTCTGTGGTTCCCCAATGATACTCTGGAAAACGAAAAGTGTCTGGCCTGTGAAACGCAAAACAATGCCGTGACCCGAGCTAGCCGTTTCTCTTGTCTCCTCGTCTCCGTTTCCACCGTTTCCAGGAGAAACATCCACTGAACAGAATCCACCGGGGGTGCAAGTCGCCCAGACT